TGCTGGGCAGCACTTACAGCCTGCCTTAGCTCTAGAGACACACTGAAGACCCTTCAGAGGCCTGTGTCTCTCGCGGGTGGAAAGGGAGAGTCGACTCTCTCTCTCTTCCACGCAAGAGCTGCTGAAGAGAGGAGCGTCAGACTGAAACCCGGGCCGGGAAGTGTGATCTCCGTGCGCCGCGGCGGGGAAGTGAAACATCGTGGCGAAGCGTGAGATTGCGTGTCAGGACAGAGGGCTCGCATTTTGTAACGGACTGCGCTTCTGCATCGGATTTTTTTTCTCTTTGGAGCGCAGTCCTGTTCCTGTTTTTTATTACCCCGTTTATTCTGCTCTCTCCTGTCATTCTCTTCCACTCGTGTCATTTTTCAGTGTTTTGGAGGAGAATAGGATTACACAGAAATGTCTTAAACCCACGGAGAGAAATCTTCTATTTTGAATAATAATAATATTGAACTGTGTGCTATTGATGAACACAAAGCTGGTTAACAGTAGAGAAATAAGATTTGTGAAACCGTTTGATGAGAAATTGATGCTCTTTGAGTGCTACTTGTCTCAAGCAGGTGTGTGAGAGTAGTTATTCAGCAGTGCTGTCAATACGTGGTCCTCAACTCAGTCTGCCCTACACAAAGTTATCTTTAAAAGGACAGAGAGCATTTTATTTAAGCTACTTCATTGTGGGAGGTCTTTCTTCAGACAGCCTATGGGTTTCACCTAGTTTCCTATTTCTGTGATATCACTTGCTAAGGTTGTATCAATTTTAAATTGTGAATACGCAGGTACGATACAGTAGTTGTGTCTAATCCACTGGAAATAATGCTGACTACAGTGATTGTGATTATGAAGCGTTCTTTCACGTTGTGTTGGTTGACCCTGTGGTGAAGACAGAGTCCTGTTGTGAAATCACCAGCGTTATTCAAATACTAAGGAAGTGAGAAAATCCCTCTGCCTATTACTAAACAGGAAATAAAAAATTGCTTAAATCAAGACAGTAAATAATTCAGTATTTTTATTTTTATTATTACAACTATTGCTACTGCTTCTTAAAGATTATCTGAACTATTCAAGAGATGATTTTTATTATATCGCACCAAACAGCCAGTCTGCGCATGACAATGAAGCCTGCATTGAGATTAAGGCATTTGATGGTGAAATAACATCTGTTACTGCTAGTGTTTTCAGAGCTCGTTTTTCAATAGTGCTGCTGCCTCACAGTTCTCTGGTCTTGCGTTTGATGGAGTACCTGTCCTCTCCTGGTCTCTGGGGACTTCTCCGAGAGCTCATCTAAAAGAGATTTTGTGTAGGTTACAGCCTGGCGTCTTCACACTGTTGCCGTGTGCTCCCTGCAGTGGACTGGAATCCCATCCAGCATGTGATCCCGTGTTGCTGCGACCCTGAGCAGGAGTGAGCAGCTTTTTCACAAGGGGCGGATCCAAAGCGCAGCAAACAATCTAAGTAGAGACATGAAGAACACGTGTAAAAATCTAACAGAAGTGCAAAGCTGTGGCAGAGGGCTAGCATGCGATGTTATCTAGTGTTGGTCCTCTATGTTTCGTCACGGACAGAAGTACAAATCCCAGATTTTGTCTGGCCTCTCAGCAGCCATTGAGCAACAGGGTAATCAGTTTTGTGTGTTGCGTCTGGAAACAAGCTGCGCTTTGTTGTTTAAAACAAAGAAAACAGCCTTTGAAGGTTCAGCTGTGCACAGAATAAAGCCTTTTTTCTTCTAAATGTAAGACCCTGGGGTGACTCAAGACGACCTTGTGGTTCCCAATAGCATTCAAAGCTCCTTTAAGGCTTTATGTTAGGAAATACGCTGGCCGCTCGGGATGCTCCTTTGCAGGCCACCCACAGCTGCTTGCTTTTTCACCAAGAGGACGAAAAGCTACCGGTGAGCGAAACGGCCTCTTTGGACCAGCTGTCTCTCCTGCATCCCAGCTCTTTACACTGAGAGCAGGAAGAAAACAGAACGGTCCTCTTTGTGACAGGATGGACGTCACAGGTCCAGCTTCAGTGTATGTAAACAGTTTACAGTACATAACCATCCAGCACTGGTCAGATCTTGGGTAGAAGTAAATGATTCTTTCCTGTGCTGCTGCAAGATATTTTCTCATTCTCTTGCACCAAGTCATTAGTGCTGGCCAACCCACCAAAATGCATAAAAACAGCCAAATACAGAGAGGTCTAGGTCACATACTTAACAATTGCGTCCTGTGTTGTCTTTGACTTGAAAAGCTGGTCAACACATTTGTCTTCTCTAGAATTGACTACCGTAACACCCGCTTACTGGGGTATCTAAGTCAGTACTGAGCAAACGTCAGCATGTCCAGAATTCTGCAGCCACAATCCTGACCACGTCGTGTGCAAGTGATCACATTACTCCTGTCCTAGAGACTTTGTACTGGCTTCCTGTCAGATTGTGAGATTGCTTCAAAATCCTCATTCACACCTATAAGGCCCTACATGTCTTGGAACCTGATCTCCTGTTTGCCCTCCAAGCCTGTGGTACATTTGTCCACAAAATAACGAAAAGCAGAAATGGAACACAGTGAAAACTCTGTCATGCACTGGGCCTGCAGTTCCCAAAGCTGCAGACATGAGCCCTTTGCCTCAGTGAGGTTTTATGGTTTTGTAGATGCCAGCTTGTGGTCATTTGAAGCATGAATTAATGTAACCATTGTCTGATTGGACTAGGAGCGAAGTATCTTACTGTCCGTTTTCTCCACCATCTAGTATATTTTCTTAATTATGTTATTGTGAAACAATCTTTGAAAAGATTATTTTAAAAAAGAAAATGAATCAGAGAATTGCTGTTTGTCACTCTGAAATGGTGTACTATTGCTGTTAGATGTGTTGGTTTTTAAATTCTATAGGAGTTCTTTACAGGAGTGAAGTTCCTTGATAGCATTGGTAACCCACTAGCCACTTCACACACATATACTCTTAATTTCTCTTTTATTTTAGCAATAGGCTAGCGAGAGTGCTTCCATCATCATCAGTGTTTCTCCTAGAAATAGAACTAGTTGGTGTGTTGGCTTATCCCTTACACAGCCACCCACTTCCCTGTTGAAAACTTGTCAAAATAAGATTTGTTATTATGAGATTTTGAAATGCCTTTCTTTTCCAAAGATCAGGTTTCTGTGCTGATCTCTCGCGTGTTTTCGGGAGGGTAGTTGCAGATGACAGTGGGCCGTCTGCGTTGAACACCATGACTGCAGGAGCTCAGTGTTTTGTTTGTCGCAGACCTAAGCGTCTGGCTGTGTGTTCCGATTCTGCTGTCCCAGAATGCTGGTGCTGTGATGTCAGCACAGGCTTACCAGGGTCAGGAAATAGGTTTATTAGGTTAAGTCACACCACAGAAGTATTTACTTAAACCTGTAAAGAGTATCAGTGATCTATCTGTCAAGATGATATTGATCTCACTGAGGTAAAACAAAACCAAAACAGTTAAAGCTCTGTCTCTCGCCCGGCTCTGAGTCCTGCCCTGTGCTTCTGAGATGTTGACTCCATGCTGGTGTAAACTCATTGTTCAACTGGAAAATCATTTACTCAACAGGATGAGCAGCTGATGGATGTGTGTAAGAATTACATTTGTAGTTAGTGTGCTATTAATTTACAAATTATCAGGTAGTATTGAAGTTGTCAGTTAGGGTCATCTTGTCTACTCCAGTTTTAAACAGATTGGTCTTTCAGTCAACTTAAAGCATACAAGTATTTGTTTCTGAACGCATAGAAGCAAATCATTTTTTTCAGGCAGACAAGAAAAAATGGTGTCTGATAATCAACAGGAACTTGCAACCACGTTCTTTCAAATTATTTCGATATGACTGGTGACGCAGAGAAACTGTTTGGCTCAAGTTTTAGGGGAGAGCTGTGGCATCTTATGTAAAGGTTTTTGCTGATAATTGAGGACAAGAATTAAAATGAAAGGGATTTGTTTTGAAGAATACATACTGTATGGAAATGTGCATTATTTATTTATTGCTCTTGAGATAAAATTGGAAATACAGTTTGAACGCTGGAATATTTTTGTAGTCCTATTCTATTGCAGAACAGCTAGAAAAATGGGCCTTTTAAGCTTATATCTCCTCTCTTGGCTCATTCTCCAAGTCAGTGACCCTTCCTTCACTGTGTCTCAGGGTCTTCAGCTCATGTTGTCACCCATTCATTCCCATTCCCTGCCTCCCCAGTGTCTGTGAGAGAGAAACGCATCACACAGCATGACTGATCTCGCTCAGAGCGCTGTGCAGTGCTCACATGCTGATCCTGGCTCTCCCCTAGTTCTCCATGTTGTCATTTTTCAGTTTTGTATTCCCAGAATACTCGGTTGGGCAGCACATATTACTTGATGATTAATTGTATTTCCTGCACGCTGCGATGCATGTGGATTTCTTTTTGACACACACTAGATGAGGAGGGGGTTGAAATAACGGTGCCCTGGCTGCTTTGTTAATAAAGGACAGTGAGGGAAACGAATAGAGCACCTTTCTTATTGAACCGAGGAGATGTTGGAATATCACCCACTGGGATGTCTTCCCTGTGCGCTGAAGAAGGATTATTTTAAAAGCAGCATCGGCAGTATTTGCAAAGGGAAATTCCACAGATGCTCACCTGGTCCTGACATTTTCTGGATTTTCTTGTGCAGAGAAATTCCAGGGTGCAGGATGACGGGCTCTCGGACGTGATCTTGCTGCACCTGCGATGCTTTTGCTTTTCAAAAAGTGATTGCCAATCAGGAAAGGGCATGATACTTCCAGGCACTCTAGCAAACACGAAAGAACCACTAGCAGCAACGCCAGCCTTCAGTGCGACTTTAATTCTTGTTTTCTTCCGGGAAGATGATTTCTTCCATGTGTTCTGCCTGTGCCTGGAACACCCTTGAGCACTTGAGTTTGTTATAGATGGGAGACCCATGCTTTGGAATGAGATACAGAAACTGTATGTTGTGAGAGAAAGTTTGCAGTGCCCTCCTTGCTCAGGGGAAGTCTGTGTATGTGTTTCAGGGCTCCAGTCCCAGGCTGAGGGCCCCCTGCTCTGCTATTACTGAGATACGCCGCTGCAACCGCCTCGAGATGCCAGACAACATGAACACATTTGTTTTAAAGGTGAGTAGAAAACGTCACCTCCGGACCTATGACTCTCCTGTGCTTGCATGCTGAGAATTGAATTCACATTTGTGTCACCTCACATGTGGATTTGCTGCAGGCCATTGGTTTCTTGTCTGCTTGCTGGTGGCTTGTTCATCCAATGGTGTCATGCAGCCACATTGCTTGATCACTGAGTGTCTGCAGCAGCACAGTGGCTACATATCTCACTCCAGACAACCACAACCCTGTGTGTGAGGAAGCACCTTCTCTTCTCAGTCCGAAAATAGACTTCCACTTCATTTTCCTTCCTTAACTACCGGTGTTAAGAAAGAAGTATCCAAATCCTGTAGTAGTTCAGGTGGGGAGCTGCGTCAGCATGCGTAGGCTGCAAAGGAACAAGTGATAGGTTTATTCCATGCTGAAAAAAGAAGAAAGAAAACACACAACATTTCGGCCGTGGAGCCTTCTTCAGGTGTCACCTTTGAAAAAACAAAATGTTTAGTTTTCTTCTTTTTTTCAGCATGGAATAAACCTTTTACTTGTTCCTTTGTATCCATATCCTGTCTTAACTATGCAAAATCACTAGAATCAGAAACTTAGAAGAGGTGTTTCTGGCAAATAAGCATTATCTAATGAAGAAGTGTTAGACTTAATATATTAGAAAATAACATTGCTGGACATAGACAGTACCACCTACTGTACTTCTATCTGCAAATGTATATTGTGCAGGAGCTTTATTTTGCACGACTGCCTGCTCATGAGCCTAGTTGTGTGTGCTTGCCTTCCAGCTTCGTCTCTGCCCTGTCTCCTCTGGCTGTGCGGTTTGCGTCACGATCAGCCACGCTGCTGTCCCCTGCCTGCTCCTAGCAGTCCTCCTCAGCCCAGTGTGGGGCCTGCAGGCAAGGCAGCAGCTGGGCAGCTCCTATCCAGAGGCCAGATAGCTGTTCAGGTTTTCCTTTCCCTCTGCCTATTTAATTTATTCATTTACAGAAATCCGCAAAAACAAAACCCCGAAGGCGAGTGATGATTTACAGGAGGCTTCCAGAGCTTGCGCGCCTGTGACCAGTCCATGCTGTGCGCTGTGCAGAGTTTTGCAAGAGTTGCAGCTGCTGTTCACCCTCTGATCTCCTGGTCTTCCTTCTTTTAGGTTAATCACTTCCCAGGCAGTTTAATATTTGAGACTGATAATGATCAGCAAGTGAGCTCCTGGACTACTGAAATAAAGGAATGTATTAACACGGGGTAAGCTTTGAATGCTTGTTTCTGTTTTTTATTCGTCGTGTTCGCCAAGTGAGAGGGGTTATCAGCCACTAGACCACTAGGAGTTATCTCCCATAAACTTGTACTTTTTGTTGACTCATTTCAGTCCTCTCCTTAATATTTGGTTTGGAAAGGTACTTTATTATTATTATTATTATTATTATTATTATTATTATTATTGAATCTTCAGAAACTGTTTCCTGCTGTGGTTTTCACAGTCATTGTATACAAACTACAAATGCAACTTTTCGTCACCACTGCTGTTATCCTTTGGCCTGGAGCACCATGAGCATTTTGTTTTGAAAAAACACAATTCCTGGAGCTGCAGTATGACTTTCCAATACACAGAGGACATTCTGACTGGCCCCACCAAACAGCCCCGTAGGCCTCAGGCTTGTCTTTAGGAAGATCTCAAGCCATTTGCTCCAGGGTTTCTTTTTCTATTTTTCACACTTCCATTAGTAGTTACAGAATCCTACAGAATATTCTAAGGCTAATTATGGAATACAAAGGCCATTTCTCATTGCAGGTATCATGGCGAATATTGCTGTTGACACTGCTTTTCACTGTTGTGCTTGGGTTGCAACCAAAAACAGCAAGTGGGTCATGAGGCTCAAGCCAAGAGCAAACACCCCTGCCCTTGTAGCAGGAAACAACAGCAGATTTTGCACTGTTGCAGGCAGTCATAGGTTGTTTAAAGATGCATAGAGTGATGTTGTATGTATGACGTTACATTTAAACCTCTTATCCTGTTGTTACTTATCTCCAGTTGGATGTAGTCAAAACAATGAACAGCGTTCTGTACTGGTGTTTTCTTGTGTTGGCACTGCTCCACCTCAACTGACAGGAGGCTGGTAAAAAAATAATCTGGGATTTTAAATTGCTGTTTGACTGAAAGTATTTGACTGATTTGGCAAATATCAAAAGTACTTTTTTCTTCTGAAATTCACTTGTACTTCTTCGCCTTAGTTTTTACCCTCTGTAGCAGTGGGAATGATTTCAAAGACACTGTTCTGGGTTTACTATTTAAAAACACTGGTCGATATGGCTGCTGTAGCACAGAATTGGAACTGGGGCCGATTTATTTGCACATGCTTCCTGGAAAAGCAAAATATCTGACGGATTAGTGTCTCGAAAGATATCCAGAATGAAGGTTTTGAGATGTAATGACCTCAGTACCTCAGGATGGCATAGGTTAATAGGACTTTTCTCTTTCAGAACGCGCATTTCAACATATCCTTTCTTCTTTACAAATCGTTTCCAAGGGAGTCCGTGTTAAGGTGGGGGTACAGAATGCTGAGCAGTGGGAAAGGTCCCTTGCTGTAGTGAGGCTAGGAAACTGACACTGGCAGAAGGAAGTGTGGAGGAGGGCTCTCTCGGGTCCCTGGGAATTTCAGCTGCACCAGATGTCTGATGGGAAGAGTACCTCGCTCTCTTCTTCTCTGAGAAAGGCTTGGGTTTCACAAGAAGCATTGGTGGTATTAAGATTAAACGCCGGAAATTAAAAGGTGGTGACTTCTCTGCACAGAGACTGCAGTTGACAAGCTCTGCTTGCTGAGCCCTCTGTACTATCGTGAAACCAGTACAGTGCCGGTTTCAAACACTCCTTAGCAACGTAGCATCTAAAAAGTATGCGTCAGCCCACGACGTCAGTAATTCAAGCCACCTCTGGCTCACTCCTGTTTGCACTTCCAGTCTGCTGTTATTCTACTGTATTGACGTAGCCGCTGAAGGAAATGAACAGTGATCAGAAGACGTCGGCACGCACGCAGGCAGGTAGCTGTCGGGAGTTTGGTGTGCACTGTCCAGGTTGAGAGGCATCTCTCTGCCTGTTCTCAGTCTGTGTAGCACCGCAGAGCTGTCACAGCTGGCCAGTCTCCAGTCCACTGGGAGCTGACCAGAGACCTCAGTCTGTGCTGCATTTCATTGCAAAGGCTGGAACAGCTTTATGTCTTGAATAGTTACATCCCAGTACTGCTTAAGGGAAAAAATTATAGTGCAATAAGAATTTTTCAGGATTTCAAAATAAATTAAATTGGACGGCCCTAGCTTCTCAACTTGCCCCATTCTGATGTTACACCTGTCCAGCTGTTTGACCAAGGGGCTCTGCAGAGTCACTTTAACCACATCTGGAATGCTTCAACCCCTGCTATAGTTTAACACAAAATATAAAAACATTGTTTTAATTGAAGATCCATATGGAGTTGAAAAATGTCTTTTATAAGACCTCGCTGGATGAGATCCTCAGATGAGTTGGTTATTAACAACCAGACCAGCTAAATGGGCCCATCGGCTGTTGTTAATGCACATGACGTCAGTCCTTAGGTTCCAGGATGTTTGTGTAGGTTTGACAGTTTTCGCAGCTGTACAGAACTTTCAGCCTACTTCAATAGCAGGAGTGATCACAGCTTCCCTGTGATTAAGTAGATCCCATTCATTCAGCTAAATTATAAACTCTTTTATAGTGAAAAGTACCAAAACCGTATTGAAATAGTAATAAAAACATTTAACTGATGTCTAAGCATTAAAAAAACTAAGAAGCGATGCGTTTTGTGACCAGCTTATTGATGGGGGGAGTTCTTTTATCTGTCTGATGTTAATGATATTTTCAGAGCTAGAAATAAGCTGGGAGTATTCTAAACAGCAGGAAGTGTTGTGACACCTCTGGCTTGTTTAGTTGTTGGTAGCTTTATGTCTGCATCCCATTATGGACTGACAAATCCCACCGAACCGGAACTGCATTGCGACAGGGCAGGCTGCCCTCTTCACTTGCTGGGGAAGAATTTCAAACTGGTTCTTTCGAAAGAAGGGTAGCATTAAGTACAGATGGCTTGTCCAGGGATTATACAGTGTCCAACATCATTGATGTCCACTGATGTCCTTAGGTCATTCTGAAATAAGGAATGCTTTCTTGTGGCATACGCTTATGAAAGAGTTAAAGTGTATAATCACGAGCGAAACTTCTTGTATCTGGAATTGTCTGAATTTTCTAGGATGACTCATTGCTGTAACCATGCTTTATCTCAGTGATGCAAGTACTACCTCGGAGAACTTGCTGGTTTCGCGCATTTCTCCGATAATGGCATCGGTGACTGAGCAGAGTCAGCACAGCTCTTGTCGCGCACCTGTTTCCTGTTTCCTGTTTCCTGTTTCTGGCTGCCCTTCCACACAGGGTGGCCAGGCCCTGCCAATGCCCAGGGCTGCCTCAGCCTGCAGAATCCCAGGCCGGGGGAGTCTTTCTCGCAGGCCAGCAGGAAACTGCAGCCCTGCAGTGTCACAGAAGTGGCTGCTGCAGTTTATTCAGCAGATGCATACAAAGAGACCCAACAATACCTCCCACTTTAGAGTCGAATTTGTGATTTAGCCTTTCTGCTAATTTACAGATATGAACTTTTGCAAAGGGGTTTGGAAAGACGTGAGAGTAGCCTAACATGCTTTAATGGAACATTTTGTATCTCTGCATTATTTCAGCTTTATCAAAGCTAGACATTGGGCTGTGTAATTCAGCAATTTGCAACATATGATTATTAGAAGTTATAGAAAATTCTTGAGAAAGCTTGGTATTGATGTGCTAACTGCAGATAAAACAATTAATTGCTGCAATTGTATAAATTACTTATCTTTCCTAGTGGCTTCTTTTTAAATTGGTGGGAGAAGAATTCTGTGAATGATCCTGGCAATTCCAACAAAGTTCATGAGACTTCTACAGATCACAGGCTGGCCAAATGCCCCTGCTGACCTGTGGCTGTGTCAAAGACTTTCTAGAGAAGGGTTTATTTCACGCAAATCTTTTTTTTTTTAAAGCCTCAGAGGAAGGCTCTTCCTGTTATTGAAATGCTGAGAACACTGTCAGCAATTCATCAGGATCTGATTTGGCCTTGTTTCTACATCCACTCTCCGGTTTTCTTTGGGGCGGGAACAATAACATTTCACATTTCCAAGAATTACAGACGTGCTTCCTGGCCGGGCCAGCTGCTTTTTATGTCTCGCTCGGCTTCCTTCACCACTGCACCCTCGCTCTTCTGGGGCTTGTGCGAGCCCAGACGTGTTTCTCATTGCGGCCACCAAGAGCACCGAAAATAACACAAATTTACAGATTATGAGAGGAAAAAAAATGAAATTCTGTAGCTATGAAAGAAGTAGCTCAAAGACCAAAAATGCTCAAACTAATTAAGCTGGCTAACTAGAGCATCTAGCTGTTCTTATCTATGTCTCATTGCTCACAGAGCGTCTTTCTAATGTATTAGACTGGGGTGAAGAATTCCACAGCTACTGCAAGTAATATAACCAACAATAGGCATACTTTTCAGTTTGGTCACAGTTAAAGTTCTTTTAGATTTCTGAACTTTAAAATTAGACTCCTTTCCAAACCTTGGCCTTATTTGTTTTTTTCTCCCATGGTACAGTGGACGTGAAGGCTCAGCTGAGACAGCAGCCTCAAAGCCCCGTTCCACTGCATTGTCTTCCAGTGCTGCCCTAGGGGTTGACAGAGGTCATGAGCATATTTCATGCAAATGGAGATATTCGGATGAAATCTTTCAGTCTAATATCCGTTACGTTTACTGGATGCTTGGCAGTGATATGTCTTGAATGTGGTGAAAAAACTCCAGCCTTAAACTCCTCTAGCCCCTCAGTATGTGCTGCTGGTCAGAACTGAGTAACCCAATAGAACTTGTTAAAAGTAGTTAAGTTTAATGAATTAATACTCCCCACTGCTGCCCTTCCTAGTTTTATTTCAGCCTCGCTGTTATCATTTTACTGGATTTTCTCTGTATTATTCCTTGTGTGTACACATAATGCAGAGTCCTATGCAGCAAGTTGCTCTCGACAAGGACATCTGCTCATCAATTGGCTTTGAATCTAAGCATGGTTTGCTGCTGTTTTGCCCTTAACTGTGATGTTGTATCAATCTGGCAGGTCAGACAGTGCTGACATGGAGCTGCTAACTTCTCCTCTGAGTGACTTGTTCCCTAGTGCCAGGAGAGGGAGCTCAGAATCTATGGGCCAAGGTGAGTCTCCTTGCTTGGGGGTGGGGGGTGGGGGGAGAAATCAGACATCAGGTTTTAGTGTCCTTCAGGCACTGTAGCAATAACGGTACGTGCTACTCATTGGTAACGAAAACAGGGATTAGAAGGAGATGGATCTTAAACGGTAGCAGAAAACCGGTGTTTGTGTTTTCCTGGTGGAGCTCATACCATACTGCTGAGTTTCACTTTGAGCCCAGCTTCCCTCGGTGTGGTTTTGGTTAGTCTTTCACATTCACAGCATCACCCTCCTAGCATTCCCTGTTTCTAATTCAAGGGTAGATTTCAGTAAACCACACCACGGTTCTTAGACTCGGGAATCTAAAGCTTAGGCAGATCAACAAACATGACTTCAATGGCAAAAGGTGTATATTCTTCAGAAATGGTGTCTTCTGTCCAGGGGACCTGTGCACTCTGACTGACTTTCTTCGTAAAGTGCCCTGTCTGATGTCAGTGTTTACTGAACTTTATCCTGACTCACATTATCTTAACTGGATTGAAACAATCCCTAGGCATTATCACAGTGGAAGGCACAAGAGAAAGGAGGAAAAGCACTTTCTTTAAGCCGTGACCTGCAAACGTGGTGCTTTACACAGGCACCTTCTAAAAAATATTTGAACGAGGAGAGTTAACAACAGGACAGCATGGTGGCGCAGTGATGAGCACTGCTGCCCTGGGCTCAATTCTGGGCTTGTGGTGCTGTCTGCATGGAGTGTGTGGGTTTCCTCCTGCTTCAGTATTGTCCTGCAGTCTAGAAACGTACTGGTAGGTTATTTGGCTTCTGGAAAATTGGCCCAGGTGTTGGTGGTCTGTGTGTCTGCCCTGCGATGGGCTGGTGTCTGGTCTAGGCTGGGATAGGCTCTGGCCCTCCGTGACCCTGTGCTGGATGGTCAGAGAATGGATGAATGGGTGGAGTTAACAATGTTTATTATAATGGCTGGCCCAGCATTTCAGAAAGGCTCCTTTAGAATATGAGTTGTTTCACCCTTCACCAGAATAGGCAATCTGTTATATGAGGTATGGATTGATCGGTATTACAGCTGATAGGCCTCCGGGGTGTGTTGCAGGGGCGACGCACTTTGCTGTTGGAGAACAGATCTACCAGAAGACGGATCACTTCCTGTCTTCGTACCCCTGGTTCCACGGGCCCATCTCCAGGGTGAAGGCAGCTCACCTGGTGCAGATGGCGGGCACGCGGGGCCACGGCGTGTTCCTGGTGAGGCAGAGCGAGACACGCCGTGGAGACTACGTCCTCACCTTTAACTTCCAGGGCAAGGCCAAGGTATTCCTGACCGAGAGCTGCCCGCCGCGGGGGGGGGGCCCACCTGAGACCCACTTAATACTGAGCCACATCCAAGAGCACACACAATGAAGACGCTGCAAAGAATGGTTCAAGAGGCAACGTGCCAGTGCTTCTGCTGCATGATAAGAAGATGTATTGCTGAACATAGTCTAGTCAGCCTGGCAGGATCCACCATTTCCTAACATACCAAGTGATTCTATCAGAGTGTCGGGCAGCATTTTGGAATATCCCCGTATCGTCACCAGCTGTGTGGAACAGTTTTTAGGCAGTAGGGCTTTTGATGTGTAATTAAAACATTGCAGGTTTACATCCCAGGTGGTAATATTAGCAGAACCCTTGAACAAGGTACTCAGATCGCTCCAGTAGAATTCTCTGCAGGACACATGGGTGAAGATGTAAATTGTTTTGTATAAAGAAGTATTAACCAAATTAATTACTATTAAGAATGTGTGTAGTAAAGTTTGTTATAAGAAGTATTTCCAATGCACTTGTACCACAAGTGCAAACGTTTACCATCATTAATGTGAAAGTCCTGTTCTCAACAAGGCTCCTGGAGAAAACTGCCAAATCATTCAGCAGAGCTACAGCTGAGGGCTTTGCTTCAGAAATGAGGATAAAGCCCACCTGCAGTCGGGCTTATTGAAGTTATTGTAGTGATTAGCATTACCAGCAGCTTCAGCCCATGCAACCCTGCAGCAGCGCCTGCAATTTGTAAGGGAGCCACACATGACGTAACAGCGAAGAAAAAGTGAAGGATATGATATATTAGGAGCAGCAGGCAGGTTGGAAGGAAAAACAAAGTAAGGTTTGCATGATTATGGGGATGGTGGGGAAAATCTTAATATGCTTAACTGAAAATGCAAAAATGTACTATATATGAAATGTATATGATGTGCTAGCCAAAGAACGCCATCCCATTTGGAAAAGATATGTGCCAACGAGAAAAGTATATTCATGTAGGTGTTTTGAAAGGGTGTTTTATTGAAAACTGTGCCCTTGTGTTGTGGCAGCACCTCCGGCTGTCCGTGACAGACAGGGGGCAGTGTCGAGTGCAGCACCTGCGCTTCCCCTCGGTGGTGGAGATGCTCAATCACTTCAAGCGCTATCCCATCCCCCTGGAGTGCGGCGCCGCCTGCGACGTCAAGCTGTCCAGCTACGTTGTGGCCAGCTCCTCCTCACAAGGTACGGCTTCCCTGGCTGCGCAGCAGATTCGTACAGACAGGGAGGGCGCGAGCTCGGGTTCAGGCAGAGTAGCTGGAGAAGCCAAGACGATTGTACAGTGTTTGACCAGACTAAGTCTTTGTGAAACTTTTCTGTTTCTTCAGTGTTTCCTATTTTTGGTTTCAGTCATTTTAACTGGACTAGAATCTAGATCACAAGTGTGAAGCGCAGAGAAGAAATGGACCTAAAACAGGCCCTGTGGAACTCCACTAATGATCTCCGCCATCAGCCCAGTTAGAGTTTTTCCTCTTATTGCTACACATCTTTTCTAAAAATCAGTTTTCAATCCATATACATACAATACCCTTGGTACCTACAAATTTGTCTTGTTTACATCTGCTCATCTTAACGCGCTCCATCAGCGTACTTTTGACATCATCTGTCATATCAATAATTCTGCAAGTGACTATCATTCGAAAGGGGAGGAAGGTCGAACTGTTTAGCAGCTTTTTCTCCACACAGTACGCGTCAGCTCTTTTGACAACAGTTAACAGTTCTTCACTAATAGTGTGGGGCTTACCTGCTTTAGCAATCCACAAGCTTGCATTTTTCCCCTATTTCCCCTTAAAAGACAGGCAGGAGTCTAGCTCACGAGTTAAAAAGTTTTTATTTAATGCGCATGGGAGTGAAACAGAGATGCTCAGTGTATTTTTCTTAAATTAACCTAGAACAGCCCATAAATATTTTTCCGTTATCTATCACGCTTTCCTGTGGTTTCAAGATTGGCATTGTTCCAAAATCAAGCACATTCTCCTACCTCCCTGTTTGCTGAAGATAACTTTTTGATACAATTGGTCACTTAGGTTCGTAAAGCACATACCTATACAATGGTCTAGACTTACATACTAACGCTTGTGTCCACTCAAGTATTAGCGTGCACTGTTTCGTAGTACGTAGGCTGCTAATTTGACACAAACTAATTTTATTAAAATAGGAAATATGAAAACCCATCCCGATTTATCAGTGCACATAACACATTTCCAGGGTTATCTGGCGTACCATCTGGGGGTGCGTACCACCGTTTGAGAACCACAGTACTAAAAAATCCTATTAACATGTATAACATCCTTTATCAGCCAGTCCTGCTAGTTGGTTAGCATTGTACCCCCTGCAGTAATTAAGGGCTTTCAAAACTGAACAGGATTATTCTTCCCGAAGCACATAGTTTGTTTCCACTTCAGTAAACAAACGTGTAGCACCAACAGAATGGTTTAAAAGTTGTCCACGGTGCACCATGCACAGGAAGTTTCTTACGAGCCTGATTTCCCAGATGTTCTTCATGTCTGCATCTCTTTAAAGCTGTCTGCTGTACTGTGTTTGCTGAGCTTGTGCTAAATGCTGGAACCCTAAGGCAAATAGTTCTGGCTGTTATGTCATGGTGTAGGGCACATTTTCCTGTGGATTTCTATTCATACCCTTAGTAGGCAAGATTATTGCTGATCATGACTGTTAGCATGTGATCAGCTTTTGAAGCATTTCTTTGCTGCTGGGAGGGATGTCTTTTAAGCTGACATGGCCTCTATCTACAGAGCATATACAATCGCTAGGTAGTCACCAGATCTTTACCCAAAGGAGGACCTGTGGGATGTTCTGTCAGCCAGGCCTGAGTCAGTTGACTTCCTTGTGGAGGAAGGGTACCGCTTCCCTCCTGCAGGATCCAGACACTGATGTAGACTGTCACAGCTCACACTGGCCACGCTGTCCGCACACAGTGGCCTACAGCCTGCGAAGTGACTTCAGATTAGCGGTCCCCTTTCTCGTCTGCTACACGTGTATGATTGTTGAAAAGTAAAAAGCAAAGGTGGACCTCAAGACGAAGAGGGCTTTACCTGAAACGATCAAACCTGTGCATGAACGTGATTTTCACTTGCTCGTTCACCTCGCCGTTGTGTTTCCCTTCCCTCACAGGGCTCAGTGTCCCCACCACCATGGTCTTGGTGCCCTTCACTCTCCACCGCTGGAGCTCGGAGCCCAGCCTGGCCCAGGTCAGCGTGGCCAGGTGCCCGCGGGTGCACACACTGGACAGCCTGCACCAGCCCGCGCCCGCGCCCCAGCTGTTCCAACGCATGGCGCCCCCAGGGGAGGTCGCGTCCCAGAGCCTGCAGCGCAGCGAGTCTGTGGGAACGCAGCCCCAGCGACACAGCCTGCACCGAGACCCAGACTATGAACTAGAGCCCACCACCAGGGGGCACAAGCGAGCCATTGACAACCAGTACATGTTGCTCTGATGCTCCACGAACCCCTGGGCTGTGGACAGTGTTTTTCACTGACTAGGACTCTGTATCGGACTTTCAGAGTCTCAATGAATGTATTTAATTTTTTTATTGCTCTTTTCCAAGGGACATTGCTACATATTTTGGGAGTGAAATATGCCAATATGGTATAAGTTCTCACAGGGAGTATCTGAACTTCCTCAGGTTTGGCATCATTCTCTGTTGCAGGGAAAGTCTTGCTCTTGTTAGGCCTGTTGAAAGGCCCTGAAAAATGTTTTTTTTCTGGCATGTCAGAGCTGAATTTCTCTAAAGAAATGGTGGATTTTCATTGCTGGTTTCTGTGCGATGAAACTTCTCAAAACCCCCCAGCTTGTTTTGGGCTCCCTGCAGGTGTGAGCCAAGCCTTTACAGGAGCAAGTACCAGGGCCTACTACAGCTGTCCTCTCAGTCACTGGCAGATTCGTTTTCCATTGCTCCAGAGCTTATACAGGAGGATCGTGCCACAGCTGGCAGCCATGCCTTCTCTGCTCATTTGCTACACATGACTGAAAGAAACCTCACTCCCATACTGTAGCAGAAAAGCATTAAGTATGATTAGCATTTTAACACCATAGATAATTAAAGCTGTTTTTTTTTAGATTTGCTTTTATTTTCCAATAGATCTTTATCTGTTCTTCTCTCCTTCTTAATACCACATTTCACTCAAACTAACACTAACAGTTCATTTATGTTTAAAAAAATAATTCATAGTGTTCATAGTGAACAGCACAGCAGTATCTTTCCAACAACCCATCGGTAGTGTAGCAGGGTTTCACGAGCAGGCTGAGCTCCTCCGACACCCTGAGAACATCGAGGTGAGAACTGGCGCGTGAAGCTTCTCGTCTTTTACTCGAAAAAGACTAGGGGGTTGTTTTTTTTTTGCAAGCACATAACTTCATGTTCGCGGAAAACCACGAGATCTTTTGTTTCTCTCTCTCCGACAGGGCCCAGGAAAAGTTGCATTCACAGCAAGAAAGTTTGATACTTACAAAAAGTTTTTAAAGTATTTCCGCACTATTTTTACGCATCTCTTTTTATCGCAGACCTTCACAGATGCTCGTCAGTCCTGTGAATATGAATATGTGGCATTTGTGCCAAAGCTGCCTTCTACAATTTTTTTTAACCAAAAGATTTCTCCTAAAGCCTCCTGCGTGGCTCATGCAGCCGATGTCCTTTGACCCGGAGGAAGGTAGGCAGGCCCAGGCTTTCGAGCCAGTGGGCAGGTGGCACAGTGCAGGTTGGTGCTCTTGCCAGGTGACAGGTATTAGAGCGGGGGGGCGCTCGGCTCGGCTCGATCACAGCCAGGGTCTTCGCATCGGCCGCGGCCTGGAGGCGTAGCTGCTCACCAGGCCAGCCAAAATATTAGGAGCCCAACCCGTCTGTGTGTGGCACGGGCACGCAGGGGGCACAGTGTGAGCAGGAGGCGAGACAGAAGTGGGAACCTTCCCCAAGGGTGTGCCTTCCTCTGCTGAATACAGTGTTCCATAGGACTGGCAGCTGGAGATTGCTCTGCTCTAATAATAATTATTCATAACAATAATAAACTCATGCTCCTGCATCCAGCCATTTCCCTACCAGAACACTCCTCCCCCCACCCCCCAAAGTGGCCAGTAGCATAAGCCCCACTTCAAACCAGCAGGACTTTCAGGATTCTAGGGCTGGCCTGTCTGACTTTCAGCGGCTGTGAAAACTCTTTTTTCCCCCACATCTCCCCCCCCAAAAAATGTGTTCATCCTTTAGCTGCTAATGACCCCTACGCCTCTCTGAATTGAATGAAGGAAACAACGGTATAAATCCTTGCACCATTTCTACGTTGCAGTTAATAGAAGGAAATCAAGCATAGACAGTACTGCAGAATTCTGACCTTAAATCAGTCCTCAAACCTCAGAGTTGTGCACCGTGGAACTTTTGTGCAATACCTAAGCATTCCCAAAAGCCTGCATGTCATGGCCTACTTCTATTAGAAAGATTAAAATGACTCCGAAGGTAAGATTAAATTTAATTGGCATGTTTCATGGCATCGTCACTTGAAAGCAGAGCATGTAGAGCTTATGCTTTAGGTATACGTTAAAAAATATTCAAACGTATTTGGAAGTATATTCAGTTAACTTAGACTGATGCAATCATTTAAATTCTGAACCAGTTTTAAGAACAAATTTTTGTGAATTGTACTTAAATCTTGATACTACCTCGTGTACAATGTTCCACTTGAGTTTTAAGGCTTATGTTCGAATAGGGGCCATGAAAATGCAGTTGAAGAATTTCAGTGACAACGAAAACTGAATTGCAGTTGTCAATAACTTCAAAATATGCCGTTTTGTTCTTTTGTATTGAATTATTTCAGTTTTCTAAAAATTTTAAAAGGGCCTGTTCCAAATTTTTAAACGTTAATATATACATATTATGTAGAAGAAAAATGTTCATCTTAAATGAAGTGAATGTCTTTTTTAATATTGATTTTTACATATGTATGCCAAGGTGTTTGTTTAGTGAAAATGCTCCAAAACCACCAGAAACCTCACTCTGATACGCTCGACGGCAGAATTTGCGTTTTAATAAAGTGGGTTCTATTTTTTTTGCTTGGAATTGACAATAGTTTGGAATTGAAAGAGCTGACATTTTGAGGAAGAGCGGCAAAGTAAAATGTATAAATTCTCATGGGGAAAAAATATTTTACTATATGCTTTTGTAGACTACGTTCCATACAAAACTATACAAAGAATGTACATCCTCTTTATACTGTTCAAAATGTATTTATATATATTTCTTAAGAACTAGCACTGTAAAAATTTCTTGACTTGGGTTTATATTGTTATATTTGCCTTAGTTTCCCAAGTAGCCCTTCTGTTTTTCAGAGAAACCCTGCTGCATATAATACCCCAGTAAATTAAATTATATTAACTGTATATTTGAACTTTTTTATGAAGCTAACAATAAAATCAGAAGTATTACAAGATCAAAACAGATTTAACTGGATCCTGACTTCTCTTTGAACACTTGTGTGTGAACCATAACTGGTGAGGATAATTAAATCCTCCATGAACACTTATTTACTTCTCAATTTTTTGAGATTCGTACAATCGCTGAAGTCACTGTATTGATACCCTCTATCCCCACCAACTGTTATTCATTGAACTAACGACCTTACGTAGAAACAATTGTTAAACTCATCTTGATTAACATCTGATAGTGTTAAAATGTTATTTGGCCTGTGCAAGGACAAGTCAAGGCCTGACGGAGTGATAATCCTTTTTGGAAGACAGTGAACTCTGATGGACTGAATGGTCCGTCATCCTTATTAGTTTTCTTAAGTTCTCAAGTGGCATATTATTAAAATGTGTAACATTATTGGATAACTGGGTGACAAGATTGTCTATTAATATATAAAGTATATGAACTAACCATTTTAGGCTCTTTTAAACCTCAGTGGCACAAATAGTTCCTTCTAGAGCAGTAGAAAGTATTGTCCTTCGGACGGTGCGAGTCCAATGCAGTAGAAAAGTATGAAAGTTTAAGATTCACAACGTAACATTTCCCAGAGGCATTCTGAGGATTCATTAATTTTCTACTGCAATCTGAATTTTTCACATTTTGTCATTTAAAATTGGAATGTATAAATGTGACCAACAGGTGTAATATTTATGATACATTATTAGATTATCTTAATTTTGTACCAATACTGCAGAGCATACAGGAAGGCTTCCCCCCGCTTGGAAAGGCTTTATTTGTAAACAGGAATTAAACAAAAATGAGTAGTTTGGATAGTGATGGTAATCCCATAAACAGATTTGCTCCTTAATAAATTGCACCCTACCGCCACCCAGTGGCCATTCTGATCAACTACTTGAAGGACAATGTTTTAACTCCTTGTAAAAAGCCACATATTTAGACCATTTCCACATCTTGTGAATGTAATTTACCAGGTTCATATGAAATAAACATCAAGCATATGGTTAAAGTTTGTAGATTAGACAGACTAAATACACAGAATTAAGCTTTTGTAGATGTCAGTAATTCTGAAAACCTGTCCGTAAGCAGTAACAGGTACAGTATTGGCCTTTGGACAGCAATGTTGGTACAGCACTGTGATTTGAGTGCCTGTACAAAATATCCATTAGAATGTGTGATTTCGCAATAAAACGCATAGCAGGGTCACGTTACCTGAAAGGCCAGCTAAGGCTCTTCTCGTCTTCCTTAGTGCACGAACAGCAGGTCTGGCAGCTCACACACAGCCTTCTTGCTTGAGCTCCTGCCATGGCAACCTGGCTGCAGGTGTACAACAGACACCTGGCTCTGGAGGCAGCGATACACGCAGTGAGGTAAGCAGCCGACATTAAAAGGGAGGGAAGGCTTTTGAAAGAGTAATTCCTTGACATGGGCTAAGCTAGTGAACATCTTCTATAATGAACCTCAAGAATCATCCCGATGAGATGCCCAAACCACCTCCAATGGCTCCCCTCGAGGCTCTCCCAGACTGCCGAGCTCCGCGCCCCGTCACGGAGAGCGAGCCCAGCGGCCCTGCGGAGAAACCTCATTTCCGCCGCTTGTATCCATGACCTGGTTCTTTCGGTCACTGCCCGCAGCCCATGACCCTAGGTGAAGACGGGGACGTAGATCAACCGGTAAACCGAGAGCTTTGTCTTCAAACTCGGCTCCCGCTTCACCACCACAGACCGGTACAGTGCCCGCAGGACAGCCGACGCTGCCCTGATCCGCCTGCTGAACTCGGGCTCCCCTCTTCCACCACGCGTGATGCCTAAAAAACCCCACTGCTTCCCACTCGCCCCCTCACCTGGAGAGGGCAATCCACTCCTCCGGGAGAGAACCGTGACCTGTAAGATCATAACTAAGACAGAACGCACCCTGCCCCTGGAGCCAGGCCTGGGGGTGGCATTTACCAGTGAGCGCCTGCTGGCCGGGCAGCCCACAACGTGGGGCTGTCTTGCGGACTCACCACCTGCAAAACGAAGGGTGAGGGTCAGGTCGATGCCAGCCTAGTGGGCATAAGTGGAAAGAGTTACAGTACTGTCACCAGTAATGTTCTGTGCTTAATAATATTTTACAAACTTGGTCAACCTGGATAATAAAACGGACGTATATTATGCACAGGTACCGATTAAAAAAAAGATTAACACAGTTATTCAGTTTTTAAAACTTTTTTATTTTTTTGTTTTTTTATTTATTTTTTTAATTATTTATATTATCTACAAAGTAAAAGTTTTTAACTTAAAAGTTATAGAACTGTCAGGTGAGAAGGGGTCACCTAAGCAATTATGATCATAAATAATCCAACCTTTATGCCAGATTGTGTTAAAGGACGTCTTCTTGTTTCAAGTTTGGTTAGAATGAGAAGTTTCCCCAAGTCTTGATTGCAGCAGTAGCAGCAGTGATTAACAGTAATGTTAATACATCACGTGAAAGTTTTCTAACTTACAAGGGTCAGAAAATGAAGTTCCAGTTATCAGCAAGCTGATCTCAGTTGGGCAGGGGGGCATCTGCAGGAGTTTTATTATGATAACATATCTGTAGGGGGCTTCCAGTAAGTTAAAATTCTTAGTTCACAATCTGTCCACTTCAGGTTGACCTGTTAGCATTCCTAATTAGTTTACAAGAAAGCAAAAGTTTAGCATGATGAGAGAAAACAGCCATCTTTCTTCAGGTTGGTAAAGCAGATTGGTCAAGATGGGGAGGGGCAGGGAAGAATCCAGTCTTCATTTTATCCTACAACTGCTGTTGATGAGGTTGAACTAAAGGAGGGGGAAAAAACAATTTAATACATAACATTGAATTCACTTATAGGGGTGGTCAGTCTTGGTCCTGGAGAGACATGATCTATGATTTAGTTATCATTTGCTAAAGATTCTTAATAAATGAGTATCTTCTGCTTAACTGAGATAAAAAAAATAAGCACCTAAATCCCCAAACTTCTCATTGAATAATGAACTAATTCAACAAATTAGTTCATTAGGAGGAACACCAGTAAGCTGTATTGTTTTTATGAACAGGTGATAAACTGGGTAACCTGTAAAGTGTCCTGCATTCGAATTACTCAGGAGCAGGACTGGAGACCCTGTGGATCATCTGGTATGTTTGTCACACGACAGTCTTTCCATCTTTTAATATTACTGCTAAAAGAACCGCCAGTGATGTTTAAAGGGAGCTTTGCAATGCACAAGTAGTTGCTACCTGAAGCATCTGCCTTACATTAGCGGCACACGTTTTGTAGAAGTAAGGTTTCTAAAAAGACGTCTACACGGACGGAAGTACACGAACTAGTCAAGGCAACAAATTAAAAAAACTGAAGAAAAGCCCAGCACGCAGGCTTACCTGAAGGGTGCGTCATGTAAGAGAAGTGTGCGGTTGAAGAGACTGGAATGGGAGGCAGAGCACTCTGAGGAATTGGAGGCTGTGGGCCGCCAGGCGGCTGAGTGGCCATCAGCATCATTGGTGGGTGTGTTGGTGTGGCATGGTGGGGAGGCACCATTCCAGACTGCACATGAGCCTGCAGGGAGCAAGGACAGACAACAGCGTCAAGGCATCTTCACATATAACTGGTGCAGGCAATGGCTTCTACATTCACAAGAACTTGATAATGACGCGTATATTCTTTCAGAAAGACATTCAGATCTATGCATGATTTTTAACCATGAATACACAAGAATTTATTTCGAAAAGAATCTTTAATAAGATTGTACGAATACTTGTTTGCTCAGGAACTTAAAATTGTATATTCTGCAGTATTACAACAGAAACGTTTATGTTGTTGGGGGGTTGCTGCTAGTAGGATCAGTGTATGTTTAATGTCAAAATATTTTACATCCACAACACAGGTAGACGTTTAACTGATTAATGTATTTTTCCCAATTAATGAACCATGCCAATTAGCTCCAAGTTTGTATTGTGCATCATACCTATATTAGTCAAACAATTTGCATTTTGAGCAACATTTGTCTTGTCTCTTAGAAATGACTGTTAAATGATGGGACAGTAAAAAATTAAGCATGACCTATGCCATTTTATTAAAAGCCCAAGTATGAAGCAAGTTCAATATTCAGGTTTTCAAGAATGATCCGCACATTCCATCAAGACTTAAATGAAGCGGCGACCTCAAGTGAACATGCATGATCACAGAAGGTCTGCTCTGAAATCGGCACGTAGGAGATCCAGAGACCGAGGAGGCAAGAAGATCACACATTCTGAAAAGCACGTCGCCAGGTGTCAAGCACCTACCCACCTGAGGTACGTGTGCCATGTGCGAGGGGTTGTAGCCATGCTGCACCTGCTGAGGGTGGATGTAGACCGTCTGCTGGGCCGAGGGGAAGCTGGTCTGCGGAGACTGGGGGTTGGGGCCAGGCGTCATGGAGGGGGGCGTGGGAGTCAAAGTGGAGTACATGGGCTGCTGAGGAGGGTTCCCCAGGTGCAGCGCCTGAGCTGCCTGGTGCTGGGCATGCTGTTTGAAAACATGCATCACCTTCTTCAGTGTTACCAGATTTTAAAGATAAAGTTGTTGAAACAAATATCTTAACAGCAGTGGTAGAGTGTACTCAAGACTATTTGGCTTATTTAGCCTCTTTTGCAAAGACAATATCCATGTTGTAATGTTTTTACTTTAAAATAAGTTACATTTTTTAAAAAGTATACTCATAAGTTCAACATGTCGTTATCCTAGCTTTCAATTAAGGATTAAGAATTTTTGCATTCACAGTGCTACTCTAACAATGGTCGGGGTTACTGGTAATTGCACAAAGTAATTATCTTTCTTGGACCTTTCAGTTGCTAATTGGGAGTTTTAAGTATTGATCTGTAATCAATTTGTGAATCTGTGTTCTTGGCTGGCCTAGGCCATGATGTTCTTCAAATCTGAACCCTAATTAAGTTGACGGTGGTGAGGTTCCATAAATAAAGCACAAAATGATCATAAGGACATAAAAGGTGAGTTTAAAGGTGAAATTACAAAGCTGTAAATGAGCAATTATAGGGGCAACTGTAGGCTGCACCTGTGCAGGACTTCAGAAACATTACTGAGACAAATACTTTTGATGGTGCACATGCAAAAACGTCTCCAATATGAAAATGTATTCCCATTCTCGCACACGGCTCGGGAAACTACCCGATCTGCCAAGTTCCTTTAGGGTGTAGAGTGTAGAGCCTGACTGGAGTGCGAAGGGAGTAAGAGTAGAGCCTTACCTGGACAGGGCTGGGGGCAGGGTGGCTACCCGTGTGCTGGCCTTGCTGCTGCTGTTGCCCAGTGGGGGTGGCAGAGGGCTGCGGGTGCTGAGGATGTGGGTGCAAAGTGGCATTGGGGTGGGTGTACTGCTGTGGTATAGGACCTTGTGACACTGGAAAAGACCAGAAAACACATTAATATGGATCCTCTTCATCACTTAGGATATATGGCACCTAAACACAAACCCAGAGGTCCTTCATATGAAGACAATCACAAAATATGCTATTGCATGCTATTTCATCTGTCACCACTGCACAGTGAGGATATGATAAACCACGTGACTGTAATAAACCAATACCACACTTGGCACTGCTGCTATCAGCACTGATATGCCTCAGCACTCCTTTATGACCAGTGTCCTAGCCAGTACTCCTAACACACCTGGATAAAAGCGCACATCTAGGATGCACATGCAAGCAACTCCAGCACACACAGAGAAGCTTGTAGCAGTGGATCCTGATACTATTTATGCTAAAGCCAAGAAGCAATGAAAAGCAGTTTGCAAGTTCTCAGCTGATGTGCGGCATGACATCTGTTTCCTGTGAGGCACAGCCAGTGTCATTTGTAATCGCTCGCCCGTTCTACTGCGATCTCGCCTGTCACCGTAATAGTTCTGCGAGTCACAGCCTGGCCCCCCCAGCAGATGGAGTGCATCCCAGTCACCCACCACTGCTAAGCTGGATGAATGATGATTAAGCGACAAAGACTCCCGACAAAATATCAGTGCTTAGCTAAACTGTTCAGTAACTACATGGTAATTAAAAACACCAAGCTGTATGAAATCGGTTTTTAAGTATATACTATTACAATATACCAACGAAAATTACTTATACAGGCACCATAGAGAGCTTCTAGACCCTCTGAAAAGGTTTACGTTTGGTTGCCTTACAGCCAAGAATTAAAATAGTTTATCTACACATTGTTGCCACTTATAAATAAAACACTGCATCGAGTATCTGATTGGGTAGGAGAACTTTCCTTGACATGTTTTTGCCGAAACAAAGTTGCCCTTGGCATTCTAGAACATTAAAGAGTTTGGGCAACTATAGTTTCGGAAATATTCCTCTCTCGTAGGTTAAAAAAATGCAAATTATTAAGCCTGCAACAGAAGATTATGAGACCTGATTCTAGTTGGAAAACGGTACAAAGTCACCCCCAAAGGGTTCTTCTGATTCAGTGAAACAAACCACTGCATCATCAATGTTTTCACTTTTTAATACGTCCTTACCATACATAGTGTGCGTCTGCTCAGCAGTGCCGTACTGTGTTGTGGAGGAGGAGACCAGGCTGGGCTGGCCGTGAGTAGGAGGTGCCATCATTCTGGCACTGCTCTGCATCACAGGGCTGAAGACGTGCTGTGCCTGCAGGAACCAGGGGAAAGGAAATGAATCCCTGTTTTCCTACTTAAGATTTTAAAAAGTATCACTCCTGTTAAAATGACAAGTATCCTTCTTTCAGAAATGAGCATTAGGGAAGGGGCATTTTATCAAAAGAATATAAGATCCCAGTTTTTCAGGTTCAATCAACACACTCAAATGGATGGTTCGGTATACCTATTGGACGGCAGGCCATACCTGTGACTGATAGTGGGGTACTTGCTGCACAAGGGGCTGATTGGCAAATTGCTGTGGACTGCAGGTGAAGTACTGTGGGGAGTAGGCAGGGTTGGGGGCCACGATAGGCGGGCCTGCTGCTGTGGCAGGGTGCATCATGGTAGGAGTGCCCTGAGGGTGGTGCTGATCTGGCCTCTGTTGGGGCATGTTGGGCACTGAAGAAGGAGGACAAAAAAAGAGAGCATGAAGCAATGGTGGGAGAAAACTGAACCTTCACTAAAGATAAAGAGCAAAAAACAAACTCTATAGCTGTAAAACAGTGCCTAAAATACCTAGAATGCCAAAAAATAATCAAGACAGCTGAGTCATGACAATATACTACTTTTCTGAGTCAAATATACTGCCATTTCTCAAGGCTGCAAGAGTGCCAGACCGTGCTTGAGTGCTGTGTTGAAGGTGGTGATAAAACGTACTTTCAAGTGAGGATTACAACTCATAGAAAGGAAGAGGAGGCAGAAAAGTGATAATGCTCCAGTAACACCTTCCACTATTACCTGTTGCCAAGCTTAGGGATAAAATATATTTTAGCTTTTTTTTTTTCTTAGTACAAGTGCACAAAGCTAAGAGGGCACAGAACCTAAAAGTCACACCTGTGGAATTTAAGAGTAAATAATGGGATTATTGATGCACCACAAATGTATGCATGCTCAGCTGCATAAGGACATGGCAATCAATCCACAGCTTTCTAATCCAGACATTTTAGTAATACTAAAAACGTAGGAACTGTTCATATTTTTATTTATGGATTTATATTTGCAACATTGAATCCTTACATTACATAACTGTATACTGTCACAGCTGTAAGACAGTATAAGGATTCAATGTTACAATGTTACATAATCATGCAGCATAGAAAACTAAAACCATCTGGAAAACCAGTCATTCCAACCAAGCATACTTAATTAGACCACTCTACATTCTTGGGCAGAAGTGATTGAACTTAAGTATTCAAAAAGGTCTGCAAATAATAGAAAAGTCATATTTTTCTATATTCCTATTAATGTTAGATCAAGATCTTCAATGTTCTGGTTACAATGGATGTATTGGAGCTTTTTCTTCTGTAATCGTATTTATAACTTTGAGGCAGGTACACTTACTTTTAATAACTAGTCGTTATGCTGATTAACTTCTGTGCATTGTGAATCACTAGCATTGTGCTCACTACTGAACATGACACATGCTTTATGCCAGGTTGCAGATGTCTTATTCACCAAGAATAACTATACAGAAAAAAATAAGCTAATACATACACAACATGCAAGCACAAATCAAATGTCCAGCATTCTCACCTTTACCTGCTCTGTAGGGCTTTGTCTGGTTCACTGTCATGGGTGCTACTGGGACGTGATACATCGGAGGCTAAAAAAACAAGCAGAAATTAAAGGCATCAAAATTTAAAAAGGTTCTAAACTGCCTAACTTACAAGGAGCAGCAATCACAAAGAACCAAAAATTTAAGCATTCCATTATACAAGTCTTGATTTTCTACTTGACCATATGCTGCTGAAAACAAAGAATTAAAAATCTGCATACAAAAAGTTTTTATTTCTAAAACTTTAAAATTGATTCAGAAAGGCCTCATTTTAATTAATTGTTTTTAATCAGAAGAGTGTAAAAGCTAAGAATGCAAGGTAGAATACATAGAATCCCACGTCAATTCAGGAAAAAAACTATACACACTACTGACTTCCTGCATTTTAACTAGTTTGAGAGAAACTAAGAAACTGCATATTGGAACCATTTGTCTAAGGTAAAATATAAAACCTTAAACTCAGGTGCACACCACTGTGAAGATGTGATACACCACTAGATGAGATCTTAGGCGTTTTGCCATGTAAATCCTCACATGGAAGTCATAAATAGTACAAAACAGAAAATTACAATCACATTAACAAATTGCAATAAGAAATAGGCAAACCAACATCTGATAGGACATACTGCAAGCAATTAACTAGACTTTCAATAAAAAAAGAAATTTTAGAATTGCACAATACCTTCCAGATAATGCTTTTCTAATGGAAAGAGAGAGGAAAGGGAGAAAAGAAAGAGAACCATATTTTAGTTTTGGTGCTGTTGTTGAAACAGTGACTGATGTTGGATCACATACCATTTCTTACAGCAACTTGCTAGAAATGCCATCAATCCGCACTTACAATGAGCACTAATGGAATTTAGACCATTTAAAAACCTTTCATTTCAAAGGTACAGCCTGGGCATCTACTAGCATTGTGCACTGTGAAGGTCTAATGCTCTGTGTGGGTTTTCGAATTACATTTATGGTGCTGTGAAAACACATTTAAAGCCATCAAGTATGGATCTACAAAGGAAGAGGTTATATTTAAAAGCTTTCAACAATCATTCTTATTACTTAATTCAAATGTTAATATGGCACTTGTCTTCCAAACAAATTAGCCATCACTGCAGGCAATAGTTTGAACATTAATACTTAAAAAAAAAAATTTAAGTTTTCCATAGCGGTCAAAACAGAGATGGATAACACCAAAAAGAATAAAATAAGTACTAAGTGTTCTCATCTTTGTAAAATAGTCATGGATGATACAATGGATTAATATGAAGTTTTGATTGCATAAAACAGTATTAGTCATGAAAGAAATAAACTGACATGCTGAGGTACTAGCATTGCACAGTTCACTATTAGATTTAAATTTTAAAATGTTGGCCTAAAGCTTAATAGGCTTATGTATTTCTGGGATGCATGATGCAAAATTAACATGCAATTTAGTATTAGGACTATGAATACTTTCAGAGCTGCAAAGTTCCACCAGCCATTGACACATGTGCAAACATACAAAACGTTAATATTCATATTAACAGTAACAGGCAGTGATAATGGAGTGATATTTTGATATTAAACTAAATTTAGTTTTAACACTTAAGTCAGGTAGTGGACAAAGCTGAAAAATAATTATATCAGACACCAAGTATATTAAAAGCAAAGGCTTCCACACAGTTGCAGTCCATGCATTAATTAAGCAAATAACATTTGCATGCTTACAGTGATGTATAAAAATACTGGACAGGCCCAAATGCCTAAAATTATAACAAGAGGAGACCTCAGTGACTATGAAACAGGTATGATTATTGGGACATTTAGAAGGCGCTTCAGCTCAACTTGCTGATGTTTCAAGAGCAATGGTGTCTAAGGTGATGTCTTTCCCTCCGTATTTCATGCTGACATCCGCGATGGACAATAGCAGGTGGAAGTGTAACCGCTAGGATCAGGATATCTGTGCATTTCTTTAAAGAGCAAGCGCAGATCACTTGACTGCGGATTCCAACCTGGGGCACGAGAAGCCAGTTTCATCAACAACAATCTACCATGACTACCGGGGTAGTCTGCAAGAACACAACTGGGAGGCAGGGAGCAAACCGCTCCTCACGCCTGCCAACGTACACTGGCGTGTCCGGCGATGCAAAGAGCACAGAGCGGACAGCCGGGCCGTGGAGAGGTAACATGGCCATATCAATCCTTCATATCCTCAACAAACAGTGCATGTGTAAAGAACTCTAAAGCTCAGAGTGCTTGGTTCCAGCAATGTCAGGTTCTGTTAGTTTTGTAATATTGTTGTGGGGCACATCTTCCTGGCATGGTTTATGGGCAAGGCTTATCATAACCACCTCTTAATGGTACTGGACGCCCCATACCTTTCCTGCAGGGGCTCCAGATGCTATAGATAACAGCACACACTAGCTATACTGTCCACATGTGTGGGCAACATTGTATTAAGGAACTTTACATTAAAGGTGTCCATTAATAGTCCACTACCTGCACATTTAGTACGGTTTTAAACAAGCAAAAGGTTAATTTCTATTTACCTGCAATTGAAATACTATAATAAATTAACTAAAGAGGTCTCAGACAGCATTCGGAGCACTGAAATATACTTGCATCTATGAATGCAGAAGTCTTAAATTTGATAAGCAGGCTACATTGACCCTGTCTACATCATCGCTCTGAAGTACTCTACTTGAAAATGTTTAACTTAATCTCCACAGCCCTACGCTGCAGGAGTGATGTGTAACAAATTCTTGCTTACAAACTGACTAAAAAGTTAAGATAGTCATATTGGTACAGTGAACAATGAATTTAACATCCCACAAAGCACCATAAATATACAGTCTACGTGTTCAAATGGACGATTTTGCAGTAGAAGTTTTATGTCTGAAATTCATATGGTACCTAGCTAAATAAAAATTTATTCCACTTTGAACTCTGAAGTTCATCATAGTTTCATTACTAAAATGAAATCAGCTCCTGATCCCTTCTAAACTGGCCGTAATTTTTGTGTTTAGTTCTATTAATAAATGAACAAGGAAAGCCAAATTAAAATGACATCTGAGACGATGTAGTTAAAGAATGGCTTTGCAGTAAAAGGCAAAAAGTGAATAAAAGCAAACTGGTTAGAATTTCAAATTATGGATTTCAGATGGTAAAATGATGACACCTGGGCCACAGTTCAGCAGGCAAACAGAACAGGTAAGAATGAGATGCAAATCTGCCTCAGGGTGCACATTAAGACATCAACATGACAAGAAGATGAAACAGCAGGGTGCAAAATGAGAGGACCACAAACACTTGGATGACAATGCTAGCTGGATTGTGCACATGTGCAAAGAAGTCTTCCATCATTCAAAGACTCACCTGGACTCCTGGGCTGACTGGCAGGGGGTACATTTGAGGGAAGCACACAGTTTGGCTGTACACAGTAGGGGGCTGCTGCACCACAATTGAAGGACTAGGCTGGCCTTGAGGGCGCGGGGGAGTCGGAGTTGTGGCCGGTTTGGGCTGAAACAAATTGAAATCCAAGATCTGGGATTAAAAATATTCATTTTAATCAGTAGTTTTTATTTAGAAAGTCTGTAAAACATAGGCAAAGCAATGGAGAAGCTTTCAAAAGCAAAGATCATCTAAGTTAGTGTGCAGTGAAACAATGGCATGGGGTTTAGTAATCCCTTCTAAATATGTCCTATAAGTTCGATGGCTGCAAATCCAAAGCCTAGTGGGACCTCCAGGTGCCTCTCCGAGCCAATGGAAAAATGGTTCGTTATGCACATCTGTTCTGCATCGCCATAAAGATCAGACTGGAAACCCTCAAGTCAGAGAATTATCAGCGGCCTCAATCTAATCCTCAAGGCCTATAGCACGGACTACACGTGTATACAGAAGCAGTTTTACAGTTTTTAAGTACTGTATATTTAATTCCCATTGACCAGTTCCCAGTTGTGTGAGAGTTATTAAACTGCAGCAAAATGCACTTTGCTCTACAAATATTCGGAAGACAACACTGGAATGTACAATGTTCAATAGTGACGGAACTGTTTCGTATGGAAAACAGGGCAGTAAAGGCATTTGCTTTATAAGTGGGTCAACACTGTGCACTACACAGCATTTGGCTGTACAAAACAGGGGGTGCTTAAGTGCAATATTTTTTGTAATTACATTGTTACATTTACTCATATTAGAACAAAAAATCATTGATTTCAAATGACTATTTGAACATTCACTTTAAACACGTTTTTAAAAACTTTAGAAGTGTGGAAGCCTGTTCTCCTGTATATCCCTTTAGACAAGAACTGCATGACATTTGCCACCCACTGAGCTCACCATATTCGAACTCTAGGCTTTGCTGCAGCCCATTCTTGGGGTGTTCCAACGTCCAATTGTATCTTCAGCATGTCAAACACACCCTCCAGTGGATTTAAAAAGGTAGAGATGACCTTTCTCACTTTTCTACCACCTGGAGAGCATTTTGGTTACAATGGCCATTAGTAAAGATACTAACTCCAGGCTAGTGTGAGACATATGCATGTTTTTCACAAAAAGATTTAAAACGAATGTTCGCGTAAAAAAAAAACGACCATTCTGAGTCATACATTTTAAATTGGTACTCATTTTCTCCAACATGCCCTTCAAAGTGGACAGCATATTGCTGAAACATATGGAAACATTTATACAGATGAACAGACATGTTAAATCAATAACATGCATCTATTCTGCTTTTCCAAGCAGGTGTCATGGGAATAAAAATACTATGCAAAGGAACAAGTAAAAGGTTTATTCCATGCTGAAAAGAGAAAGTGTTTCAGCTGTGGAGCTTTCTTCGGGTGTGAGGCCTTCTTTTGTGTTTGTTTTATGGATTTCTTTTTTCAGCAAGGAAAAAAACCTTTACTTGTTCCTCCTTTGCAGCCTACACATGCTGACGCAGCTTCCTACTTAAACTAACAGTACTTACTTGAGCACAGAACGATCTGGGATTAAACTCCTTGGCGTTGGGATTCAGAGTTGATTTTCTGACTTGTCTGAAAAGGTAAAAATAGGAATAATTTAATATGGTTAAGAAGGGAATCACAACTCCAATCAAGCTTTATACAAGACGTTAACAGTCCTATAATGCTGTGTAACAGAAACCCTGTTTGGAACTGTATAAATCAAGAAGCATCAGAGAAGTCATACAGTGATAACTACTGATATACTGGTGTTCATCTCCAAGTCTCCAAGCACTTAACATACTGGATGGTGTTCCACATGAAGCATAGCACCTGGCTGACATGCAGCTCCTGTCACGGCATCCCCACTACACGGGGAGAAGCAACAAACTGTCTCACGAACTGAATTAACGCAGGGAGCCACGATGAAAATGTAACCAAGACTAGCATTAACACCTCCCGCCAAGCATTTTTAACCAACTCCTACAATTTAGGGTGGCAGGGGAGCTAGAGCCTCTCCCAGCAAGCGAGGCAGGAAACATCACAGGGCACTCGCAGACAAGCAGACACAAATACAGGACCAATTAAGCTACCCGTATGTCTTTGGACTGGGTTAACACTTTTACCCTACCCTTAGAGCAGTAGAGGCACACTAGAGAACAGGTCCAGGCTTTTCATGATTTTGAAATCTAATTAGATCAGACAACATGGTAGTAACTGCTGCCATATTGATCACTTCTATTTATTAGTTCTTATTAGTGCTACAGAACTGGGATTTTGACTGGAATACCAGCCCTTTACCTGAATACAGTTATTGCACACCATCTTTCCCCCTTGTTAAGTTTCCTCCTTAGGTGCAGCATTAATGGAATGGGAGCGAGCTCCTCACTGGGATGGAACTCATGGAATGACAACAGAATGAGCAAGAAGGTCCAAGTGACAACCTTGCATTTTTACCATTTTTCAGATTCTTAAAGAGATTCTGAAACTGTGGGGCGACCAATTTTGATTCTTCTCACTAAATATAACGTATGGCTCAGGACGGCATAACTCGTCTTTCCCCACGGCACAGCAGGCTGTCAGACAGGACGTACTCTGGAGTCGTGTCCTTCTTATCGTCCTTGTCCTCCTTGTCGACTTTGCTGCCCGGGCCCGAGGTCTGGACCCCCTGGGAGGTCACGTCCGGGCCCCTCTTCTGCTCCGAGCTGCACACCGCGGACGGGGAGGCGCAGGCGCTGGGGCTGCTGGGCTTGCTGCTGCCGCCCGTGGCGTTGGCCACAGAGCCGTCCTCGCTGGCCGACTCCTTGCCGCCGAGCTCTGTGCTCTTGTCCAGCTGGAGCTCCTTCGGCTTGTTCATCATCTGATCAAACACGGGATCTGGGGTGGAACTTGCCTGTAACTGCAGTAAGGGAAGAGTATGCAAACATCAGTGCAAAGTTCATGCCCCCGATGTACAATTCCCCCCAAACACCCACTGTTACAAGCTCAGCTCTACATAAGCAGAACTAAAGCAGACAATTAAAATCTAAAACAGTTTATAATCCTTTACGTAAATGATTGAATGGTACCGAGGAGAAGATGGAGAAGCCATTTCACAAAGATACTTACCCTAAACTCTACGTGGAATTTCTTTAAATTATCTATTTGTTTTCGATGGTCTGAAGCCATGGCAGGCGAACCTAGGGGCAAAGAGACCAATGCCAAGGTTACACACAGCCTTACCTGGAACATGCAAATTAAGTAGCACATACCTTGAAAGTAGAGAATCACACTAGCTAAATGTTAAAATATAAAGTGTCATGAATTTTAAATGAAACTAAAATCCAAGCATGGAAGATAAACTAGGTGGCATGCACTATTTAAGAAATACAATATCATTGACCACCCTCGTGGGGTGGGGGGTCAGAAATCAGCCATACTCTGGGCCAAGTAAGCATTTGTTCGAATTCACTGCATGAGACAAAAATGCCTATTGTCTTCTTTATCCGTCATGTTTAAAAGAAATCTCCACTAGTTCCTGTGGATAAGAGATCTGCACCTTCAGATGGTGTTAACGATCACATCAAGATCTATGGATACAGGACAATATAAATACAGGGGATACATTTGCAAAGACAAATGTGACAAATGACAGTTTAGTAATGACCTCCTTCCGTCTTCTCCATTGTTTAAATAAAGTACTTTTTCTTTCTAAATTCTTGCCTTTAATGTCCTTTAATTTTCTGTCCAAGTGTACTAAATCCTAAAATAACTAAAATGCCTTGTTTGTAATCCCCCAACATCTTGAGTGTTGTGTGAGAATTTCAAAATCAAATGCACTGAGTAGAGCAATACTCACCCTTACTGACTGGCCTAGCGATGCTTGGAGAAGTTTCACTTGGCTTGATATTTTCCTTGTTCGCAGCAGGAGAATTCTGTCTTGTCTCTTGAACTCTTGATTCTTTTGCTAAAAAAAGGTTACATTTAATATTTTTTTATAATGCAACAAGAAATATACAACAGTACAATGATTCAAGAAATTGCAAGAAAATCTCAACTTATAAGACACAGGAAAAAAAGTTAATGCCGTTTTGGGGATCACCAAAACGTTCTGATGTTAAAGGAACATGCCATTCTAAATGAATGATGCAATGGGTACCTGCGTAGACGTTAAAAGTCTTTAAAGACAAAGATTCAACCAAGAATACCAAAAACTTTCCAACCAACTGGGATAAATGTAGAAGGGTTTGGGGGATTTTTATTACACACATCTCTCTGAGCCTGGTGAAGTCAATCGTGATGAACATTAATGGAACACACCCAGACAACACCCAGGACCTCCAGACTGATTATCCAGACAAGGTGGAAACTATTTGCCAAGCTTGAAAGCTTTTCAAAGTTCAGTGGCTAAAATGGGAGAAAATGTCCACTGGTCACCAATACCCCAGTCATCCCACAAAAGGGTGCTTGAATAAAAAACTTTCAATTCCTATTCTACATGGATTTTGCAACAAAACACCTAGATGACAACACAAATGTGGCAAAGGTTTGGGTGCTCAGACAAGACAAAATGGGACCTTTCTGATCAAAGAGCAGTGTTAGATTCGACAAAGACAACATGTATAGAAGAAGCTCACCCTCCGCAGATGGGGTGACAGCTCTGTTGGAGGCAGGGCTGGCTGCTGCAGGAGAAACTGCAGAAGCAGGCATGGCTACAGGCTCCATGGGAACAGTACCGGCTTGAGGAGATGGCAGAGATGACCCACTGGAAGCACTTCCAATACTGTTCTGTCTGGGAGACCTGGGTCTGTGTGCTTTGGGAGACAACCGTGCAGTTGGACCTAGAATTTACATACGACTTTCAGCTGTTTATCTTGCTTCAGGTAAAACATACAAGGGTCAGTGAACTTTTCTGATGGAAAGTTATCAAGATGTATTCTTTCAGACAGAAGACTGGAATACAATGTAGGATTTGTTGCCTATGCTACTTTTTTCAAGTGATTACATACTTGTTAAAAAATTAACAAAGGATATGCACAGACTCCATTTGCTCCTTTACACTATTAAAATTGTCCATGACCAAGTGTCTGAGGTCTGAAGGACATCAAGCAATTCTACTTGGAGGAATGTTCATGACTTTTCCCCCTGAGGCGCCAAAAGCACACTTAAGTCAGAATTAGCCCTGTCAGAGGTGAATTTCAGAAATACATACAGGGGTGCAAATAAACGTGACCCTTGTGGTTTCTGATCTTAATGGAAAAAGGAGCACGTCAATCTGAACAGAATTGCATCGAGCGATGTATAAACTAAACAAGAAATATTTCAATCTAAGAGGTATGAATCATTAGAGCACATAGCATTACTGCATATATTCTGCATTATCCTTCACACAGCATCTGTAACGAGGATTTATCGATTTGGCTTGGGATCTGCCTCCCCCGTGCAGCATCACACATCGAGATAGCCCCGTAGTGCCAGCTCACCTCCACTGACCACTTCAGACCAGCTCCCGCTCGAGTGGCTGCTGCGCGCTGGCGGGGGAGCAGAAGCTTCCGAAGGCAGGAAGTCAACGCTGGGGGGACCACTCGCGCGGCCCGTCGCAGTTCGATGTATCCGTGGAGTCCGCTGCGTCTTCGGAGACATCCTGGGAGGACCTGAGCAAGAAACAAAAGGGACTCGGGCTAGTAAGTCCTCCAAAGCTTGGGGAAAAAGAACTTTACACCTCACAGATTCATGAATGTCATAAAATCAGCTGTTCACATATGGAGAGGTTAGCGGTCTCCGAATCCAACTGAGAATAAAAAGTGTTGCGCTGACATTTTGATATCTTTAATGACCCTTAGTTAGCTTCAGATTCTGCAAGCACATAAAAAAAAAATCTGTACAGATTTGTCTGTACTAAAAGAAATCAAGTCTGTACTGTTAAACACGAAATAAAGTGTAATGACAAGGGAAGGTAGAATGTTTGGAGGTGTACAAAATTAGCCAATGCATTTCTTCCTTATTCACAGTAATACTCCCAAATATCAGGACCTGCACACTCACACCTTCACATCACAACAATCTTTAGAACAAAGCTCATCATGTTCCATTAGCTGCAACTTCGCAATCAGTACGGCTTAAGACCAACTTACCTGCCACTTCAATATTTGTTATTTCATATTAAGATTGATTTTTCCATACCCAGCAGCTCAATATATAGGTTATTTTATTTTCATACTTGCTTCTAAATTTTGAAGCAGAATCTCTATTCATTGTTAAATGCAGCGATCACCCTTAAGAGTTCAGCCATTACCTTTTGCTTCCTGATTCACTGGAATTTGCCTGAAACGGCAATTCAACTTTGAATGGGATTTGTCGTTTTGGCTGCCACATAAATTTGTCATTCAGCCATTTAAAAATCTGAGCACGAGAAGCCTCAATAATGAAAACAACTTAATTATAAAGACATCACAGCAGGCCACTAAGGAAGAGGATAGCAAAAGCATTTGGGTTTCCGAAGTGGGACAGCCAAACCTTGGCATCTTAAGCCTAAAGCATGCAACCGAGTTGTTTTTTTAAACAACCTACACAAGAAAATTAGTGTTAAAATGTTGCTGCTTTAGAAAAAAAATCACTTCCAAACTATGCAGTCTGGATTAGCTTTTAAAAGGCCATCTGAGTAATCTTCCGGTCATGATCCCTTTTATTTGCAGGTAATACCTTATCAGTTAATCCTGAGATGGAGATAGAAGTTCCAAAAAACAGAAAATGTTTTGAAAGCAAAGGCTTCAGGTGTCTTTTCTAAATCAGGGCAGAAACCGCAATCCCAATTTGCCTTTTAAATATGTCTGCATACAAGACAAGTCTTTTATTCACCAGAATTAGATTGCTGTTTGTACCTATTCTGATCCTTGAAAAAAGAATGCTAAAAGTTTCCAAAAAACTAGATTCCTGCAATGAAGACTACAAAGAACTGTAATATCAACTTTTTCCCATGCTGTATATTTTCTCTTTATAAAGATTCTCTGCATTTAACTTAAGTTAATTTGTTTAATCATACAATTACATTCTATTTTCTTTTTTGAAGTCACACAGATTAAGGCCTTTGAAATGCAATCAGCTAGCTGATACAGCCCCTTTTCAATCACAGGAGCATGGAGATGATCCCTATATCTAATCAGCAGCTGTCAAAGTCACAAAGCTTTTCAGGTCCATGTCACAAGGCAGCGATGTCATGTTCAAAACAACTTCACTATGGGCTTCCTTTGCAATTATACAAAACAAATCACGATTGTAAACAGCACATTTCCACAAAGTACCTTTTAGACCTCCAACAGATATAAAATAAGAAAATCAGCTTGTTTGCAATGAAACACTTCTGAAAAACAAACAAGCTGTAAACTTTTAAAATTGTAAGAAATGTTCACATTATGAGAACTAAAGGGACAAATCTAAGATGCAAAATGTACAATTCACTCATGATGCACTCAGTGTGGGTTGCAGAACGTCCTGGACTTTAATTGGATGCAAAGGCTCACCCTAGTTCTTTCAGAGTACAGTAAATTGGATCAGTACAAGCACCAAATTGCACAAAAATGCAGAGAAGTCCACAACTAAAGAAATCACTGAACATGTTGTTATGGGAAGCAGGCCTTGAAAGTATTAAACAGAAAAATGCACAGCGCACACAGGACAAGTTTACGCACACTGAAGTCTTTTTCCCCACCAGCACAACACCAGAATTGGCAGCAATGTAATTGACTGCAACTCGTTAAAAAAAACCTTGAGCATTCACTTGGCGTGTGAGTTTCACAAGACAGCAGAGCTTAGTCTTTGAGCTGAGGGGTTAATCTAAGAGGAAGATTAGTAAAGTACTGCACAAAACTTTCAAGAGTCACCATTCCATAAAAGACAGAACAGAAGGGGAGAATAACCGAAAGTTATTTTTTAAAGAAAGAACCATCCCCAAACAAGAGCAGCCACACCATGCCTGCACGGAAACAAACAAGACTATGGACTGTGTTGTACCTTCTGTAGACATGCGTTTAGGCATAGTAGAGACAGGAGCTGAAGAGCCATGAGCAGAGGGGTGAGACGGGGGGCGCAAGGGCCTGGAAGGGGGCCTGGAGGGTGGCCTGGTGGGAGTGGAGGCCCGAGGCGGAAGAGAGGTGGGGCCTGACTGGTAGCGAGAAGGTGGGCGAGAGGAAGGAGATGGGCAAGGCGATGGCCAGGGGACACCTGACAGGACAAATGAAATGAAGGAAAGTATAAAAACTAAAATAATGTGGATGGGAAGAAGGAAACAAAAAACAGAAATGACAGATGCATACCAATTTAAAAAAAAACTGAACACTTAAAAGGTAAACACAATACAGAAAAACAGAACTGGAGCATAGATAATGCAATGTAGAAAAAATTCCAGAGGTTTTTGTACACTTGGAATGCTAACAGACCCCTATCCGAATCCATTCTGAAAACCTACACAAGACTTGTAGTCCACCGATATCACTGATGCATGTGATCTTGCTCTGTAAGTGCATTCAGCACCAGACTTATACCAACATCCTTATTTCTGGAATTGTCTTCATGATCAATGACCTTGAAAGCCAAGAATTTTAAAAAAGAAAAGCGTGTTCGTAACATGAAGAAAGAAAACACTACATTCTCCTAGACTTTTAAAAAAAGACCAGAAATGTCAATTGTATTTCCCAAAACAGACATCTCATTTATACTGCTTCTCATGGAAAGGACTTAAAAAACTCTCAAAGTGGACAGAAATAAAATAAATTGCCATCTGCCCAGGCTTGGCTTTTTTGTACTTTAATTAGCAGTGTCTTTCTGATAACCGTTTTTCAATTTGATTTCAATCTAACTGCACAGAAAGTATGCACGTTCCTGTAAAGCTGTTAATGTATACCTTGCTTCCATGAATCATTACTGGAGGCACGCTGCACAGGCAACATCACATGCAAACAAATGACCACAAATGTTTTCTTCAAGTTTTAAAACTCACCACTGCAGCTATTTTTTATAAAACTGGATCAATTAGTACAACTGGAGTCCTTCTTTCAAAAAGGAACGTCAAGTGCAGAGAATTTCACTTTTGTGGTCAGAAAACGGAATCAAACACTCCATTCTTCATGCAGGGTAAAGTACACTCGCTTGGGTTAACCGGAAGTACAATGACTTAACAGGCATCAGACACTTGCTTAAGGACCTTAGTTTCCCTTCTCAGCCTAAAGATAAAAAAAAAAGAGGTTTGGCAACTGTCATACAAATAACAAGCCAGGGACCAGTCAAGGCTTCAACTTGGGATGTACTGGTAACAAGCCCTTTAGTTTAAAAACTGACCCACCTAGCCTCTTAGAAAAAAAAACTGCCTTTCATGCCGTTGAAGTGCAGATGCTTGTGTTGTTTAGCGCTAGGTTATTAATTTTTTGCCAAATACTTATATACACCAAAACTATTCTTGACATCTAGATCACAAATTTTGAAGATCTATAATGTTCATCGCTCTGCATCTTTCCTCACTGATTTTCCTGAGGCTGTTAGAAACACGTCAATCTTGCACTGGTCTGATGTGACCAGTGAAGTTTCCCAGTGGGACCTGAACATGGCTGCTCATGGGAACTGCCAGCTTCAAAGTCACAGCAGCATTTTTTTAGACAGGTGTGAACCCTGCCCAGATGCTGTAGACCCAGACCTTCCATGGCCTGTGGGGCTGTCTTGGGAGATGTCTTTGAAATGATTAGAGGTGCCACAATGATATTTGATGGGATTTAAAGCAAATAAAAGCACATTAGCACAATCAATCTGACTTCAGCCAGCTGGATTCAAGCTTGGATGTCTTAGTGCAAGATGTAGTTGGGGGAGGGGGGGGGTTGAGGACAACTCCTAGGAGATGCACATTGGCATCAGCCAATATAGACCAACAACCACTCTATACTGCAAATCAGGTGAATTGAGCCACTTCAACAAACGAAAAGAGAGGAAATTTCAAAATTTCCTACCAGCCTAATGTCTACCAGCTTCTTTTGCTCTATAATTTGTCATGTTGAAAGTTCATCCCCTTTCAATTTGATTTCCACAAACTTTTTATAGCCCCCAAAGCCAAGCCTATAATCCATTACAACATTCTTCCTCAAATGAACTGGCTTCATTAAAATCCAAAATACTGTTGCCTTATACCAGAAAACTTTATTCCACCAGGCACCAGTTAATCTCTTGCAGACTCCATTCACTTAAATTGTACAGTTTGAACAGTTTCTTGGCATAAACCCTTCCATGAAGAATTGTTCCCAATATTTTTAGTCCAACAATGCAAGAAAAGGCCAGGATTCAGACCTTCTCCATTTCAGTTGAAAAATGTGTCTAGATATCATCTGTGCTACAAACACACAATCTTTAGTTAGTATTACTTTTTGATGGTTTTGGGTGGTCACGTCTGTCAGTTTCTTCATATTATAATGCAGTCTTGTGTGCCTCACTCTATTAAACCACATATCTTGCAACTCCAAGACAAATGCAATCACATGTATTTTTGTACTGTTTCTCTTAATTTATGCTAGTCCCCAAAAAATCAAATACTTAAAATAAATGACAGGTTCCTTTTTAAATGATTAATGGTTTGTCTTGGTAATGTTTCAAGATTTTAAAACCAACCACCCAAAACTCCTACAATACTCCAAGTATAATAAATGCACAATATTTTAAAGGTCAGGCTGCCACTGGGGCAGGGTTAATTCAAATCTACAATTAGCAGCTAGCTTGGATAATATCTCTTCAGACATATTGGAATAAAATTAAATCTTGAAGCATCAAGAATAACATCAGAAGGAATGCATCACAAATGAACAAATATTCCAATAGTGAAACGTAGCCGATACCACACTGAAGGATTTTTCCAAACCCTGTCATTTTTTCCACATTCCAGTAGGTATTCGAAGATTAAAATGATGCCCTATGCACCAGGAGAGGTTTCAGAAACCAGAGAACAAAACTGCACTTAAAACTGAAGGAGAAAAAATGGAGGTGGTTTTTGCTTTTAAAGAAAAAATGCAAAGCTCAACAAGGCTTAGAAATATGCACCAGATTTGTTCTCAGTCAATGTTCAAGTACTCTAGGCCTGCATACCGTAATGTGAGCTGCCTTTTGGCATGCAGAAACACTACTGTGAATTCTTGCATGTTTATATTAGAAATTGTGCAACAATTAGACCCAGATTTCTCCTCAGGTCCAAGAGCAGGTCCCATGACAGTTACCATGCCTGTTACAACTAGTTACCCCTGCTATCAAGCAAGCTAGATGGGCTCAAACTCCTCTCATTCTTCGTTCTCACTGGTTATGTGATTGAAACTGAGGAACCCACCGAGACATTACAATACGAAAGGTCATTCCATAAATGTAATAGCTTGCCAACTGCTCTTAGTTTTATATTGTAAAGAAATACATTTTAATACAATGGTATTCTACATGGACTGCCCATTCTAATAGTGCCCGTGATGAAAATACAAATACAGAATATACACTATAAATCACAAATGCACTTAACCACCAATAATTCCAGAGAATTTTTTTTGGCGCCAGTTGCAGTGACATTTTATTGAACAGACAAATATAATTTACTATGGTCACCAACAAGGCTGTCCAGAAGGGCATTATGAGAGAAGGGCTAACCAACCGTGTGGCCATTGCTGGAAGTAAAACTGGTGACAAATACTTTGCACCAGGTTGCAGCTGTAGCCTTTGAGGCTTCTGCCTCATTCTTCTTATATCCTTTTACCTTGTCTCTGAGCCCTAGATACCACACGTCACCCCAGCTCATCACAGAGATGTTCAGTGGTGCTGAGACTGAAGCAGGCATTCAAGGCAACACTGTCACACTTGCACACTGTGCTTGTAGGACATGCCCATTCCTCATCAGAATGTGCCTTTAGGAGGCACAGCAAGCAAAGTCTTAGGACTTGGATCAATATAGCACTGTTTAGGCAGACTGACAGCAATCACGTCAAGCTGAGTTTGTAGCTTCTACTCACTCCTAGCCAGACCCCACTAGGACCTCTGCACTGATCTTGGCAAAGTGTCACTTCATGACAGATATTGTGGGAGACCTTTGACTGTGTAGGACTATAATGGCTTCCCAGGCTAGAAATGTCTTTAGTGCTCACAGCAAGCAGGTAAGCCACAGTACAGAAAAGGTCTAGCTTCCAACATACTGATGGCACCAAGGAGGTGTTCTATGTATTAGTAGGATGCTCCTGAAACTCAGGATATTTGCAGAACACCAATGCAAGCCTGGTACAACAGGCTTCCTCTGTTTAAATTAAGGGAAATATTTTGCTTTTGTGAAACACTTGTAATTAAGATGGCTTATTTTGCTTTGGTGAATATTGAAATTTAAAACCAAAACTGGCAAAATGGTAAAAACAGTGCAATATATTTTGGAGAGGACTATTTCTCAACCACCTACTATGATAAATATTTTTTGCTTAAGTCCTTAGAGTAACTCTTAGTTTAATGGGTAATGTCACAAATGCATTCATCAGACAGTTTTAAGAAAGTGATGAGAATGGTCCATACATTTCCATACAAGTTTCCTTTCCAGTTCCTTGACCTGTCTGGCTGTATTACTGCACCATCTTCTTTAGTCCTTTTCAACTAATTCAAAACTATAAACTGCTTCATCCACAGGACTGTGCAGTTTCTCCCTCTCCACTGGTTTACTCTTCCATCATCAAATCCAGCACAAGGTTCTTGTACATTTACTGTGGTAAGCCAGGACAAAACTACTTTTACACCTCTCTGACTTTAAATGCATTTTTATGCATTGTACTGCCCTTACTGCAAGCCATATTAATGAAGAAATGTGCAAAAAGTTTTAAAACGTATTCTCCTTACCAATTCTCTCATTAAGTGACTTTCACAACAGGTTCAAATGGAGATAATCTATTAAAAAATTAGATTCACCCATTCATCACTCTATTCATCAAAAACACTCTTCCTAGTAAGTGTCATAGCACCCCAGACCCTATCCCAGAAGCTCTGAAAGGCACACGGCAGGAATTAATCCTGAACTGCACCCCATTTAACCAAGAGGGAGAGAAACTACACATGGACATGGAGAGAACCACTCAGATCAACTAGGAAATTACATTTAATATCAAACCAGCTTTCACAGTATCTGAAAATTATGTAACTTTAAACAAATGTTTTAATTTCTTATAGTTTTGGACATGCATCTCCATCTAATACTGCAAACTCAAGATGCTCTCAGCTGTCCAATGATTAGAATTTCCATTATCTCAGAACATCTTGTAACAGTGAACCCACAGTATAAAAACTGCCACTATTTAGGTGCTGGATAAAAACATTCTGAAGAGAAAGTGCAAACATTAAGGGTTTGGATACATGTAGACCATGTAAAGACAGCTATATTAATCAATGCACTCAAAGGCACCTTGGAACAAATGGTAAAAGGGCTAAGTGTAAATCTAGGAATCAATGTTTTTGGGACTAAATCAGGAAAAATGTTAAATGAAATGCAAGATGAACATTGATTATGATCCCTAGGAGTGTTGGAAACTAATCACTAAAAAGTTTTTCATTACTGGTTTTGTTCATACCATTCTGATGCTCCAGGTATACTTGTTTCTTGCAACTAAGACAAGTGCACCTCTGACAAGTTTTATCAGACCTAAACTACAAAAAAAGTCTGCATGTTACAGGATGTAGTACCATGTGCAAGCCATCACTCCTCTCTCAGCTTTAAGAACAGTTTATTGTTTAAAAAGCATTTACATTGCACTTCCAAAAACAGCAGACAGACCACCCCAAACATGAGTGCCACACTCAACTTGGTTCGATTATGAAATTAGGAAGTTTAAACTTCAGATGCTAAACATTGTAACACGATTCTTTCCCCTGAAAATTGGAAAGCAAAATGCTGTGGACCCTTAAGATATTAAATACTTTCATGCTTCTACAAAAGATGTAGGCTACAATCTGCATGTTAAAAAGGATTCACAAAGACTCTGAATGGGTACATAAAGATGGAAAAAACATATTTAACACTACATACTGGAAACAGTGCAGTAAGGGTTCTGTGAATGACTTAGAGAAGACAAGCACTGTGCTGGGAATGAGTGAAATCCTGAGAGGGGGAACAACCCCTGTACAGCAAAGCCAAGAAAAGCACGTCTTGGTAACAGGAGTAGGCATGCTGTACCTTATTGAAAAGCTGAGCCAAATGATGTGAATTTCAAATCTTGATTTGATTAAGATTTGATTAACAATTGAACTAATATTCTGAATAACCAACCATACACTCATTTCTTGCACTGCATTTTGACATATTGCTGGTTTCCCAGTTCAGACTTTGAATGCTATTTAATGCCAAGATCCTGTACATCTGGAAAAGCAGAACATTTCACAGCTTGCAATACCAAAATGCTGACTATCTTCGGTGCAAATGTGACCTGCTCTCCTAAAACCAAGGTTTATTGTCAAGCGGATTCTGCTAAATGCTCTCTTGACAGCTTGAAATTTCTTACTTTATAAAGCTTTTAGGATTGTTTTTTTTTGAGAGCTCATCATTAAAAGCAAAAGCCTCCACACTGAAAACCTGGCCCCAAAGACCCTGGTTTTAAAAAGCAGGTCCAAAACAGAAGAAAATTCTACACTTCAGCTGGAATCCTAACACCGTCATTAACCAGACAAAAACTCAGAAGGCACAATATGCAATAAGAAAAATATTGCATGTGAAATTAAAGAACCACTACACACCATTAACTGTACTCATTCCTATTTTTGTGCCTACTTCTATTAAACCTTTTATTGAAACCCCAAGGGCTTAATTTTTGTGGACAGCGCATTAAATAGAAATGTACATTTGACATGATAGAGTTATCGGCCAGTGAAATAAACCACACCAAGGACATTCCTAAAAACGACTTAGGAGTCACAGAAGCTTGGGTCATTACCTCCGTTGACCACTCTTTGGTCGGCTCCAGAGCTGGGACTGTAGTCATGAGGTCCAGGCCGGGGAGGAGGAGGGCCTGAGCCACTCTGCACCAATCTGGGAGAATTCTGCCTGCCTGTCCCCCACGACATCCCGTCCCTGTTCCTCTGCCCTGGTGGAATGTATTTGTTTTCTCTGGGGGAGACGAGACAAGAACAGTTTTGAAAATTTCATTTCACTCTGGTGCCTAATTTTTCCACAGAGCTGGCAAGCCATTTGATTGGCAATTCTCTCTCAACGTTTGGACAGTTAGTGTCGATGCAGGTATGCGTCTTAATACTTCAGGTTCTCAGTGATATGATTGAATTGTTAACAAGTAAAAAAAAAACAGTACAAAGATGGTTCTTTTTACTGTTTTGTACTGATTCCAGAACAGCAATCAATCAGCATTACAACTACAATAATCTGGAGAATAGTGTCTGGGTCATTCTCAGCTGTCTTACTTACAAAGTTAGTGAGTGAGTCTTAGGGAAGTTGGATTCCTTAATCCTGCTTCAAAACTGGTCTTAAGGTGTGTAGAACAATTCTGCTTTATATAAATCCCCAGTATAACTTTGTTAGTTTGGCTTGGCTTTTAAAATCAGACACTTTGTTAGTACAATTCCCGTCATGATCAGACTTACAGTACTACAACTGTGACCTGCTTGGGAAAACAAGGAGTAAATTTCCAGGTGAGTCTGGGACTTAAGTTATTTTAAAAATAAGAAATGAAGAGAACGAAACTCTGCTCCAACTATTTCAATATTTTTATGTATTAAACCAATTTGGTAATAACGGTTTAACATAAAACAGAGTATAACAAATGAAAGTACAGCTGTGAAAGCTAACCCAAACAGGAGTATTTACATTTGTTTACAATAAGAATCCTGCATTAAGTTATGTAAAAAACAAAGTTAAAAGTATGACCACTCAGTAAGAAAACTGAAAAAAGTCCAAAACTGAGGCAAAGGAGGAAGAAGGAAAACACAGAAAACCAACAAATCAATAAAGCTTGCACTTATCCTTCCGACTTTAAACTTTGACCCTTCTCAAGGGATTCTACATTTTGTACAACAGATCACACTTGCAGACTTCAATAGCATTTGTAAGAGGAGTGTTGGAAGATTTGTACTATAATCCAACAAACCCTTCAGCAATAATGAGATATTGAGCTACCCTTCACAGGGTTAAGACAGCACAACTGCAATTGGATTACCAAGCCCGGATGAGAAGTCTCTGTTAATTGCTTTAATCATTTTCTTTAAAGCCTTTAACACTTTTGTATAGCTGGTAAAACCACGTTTGTCTTTATAACTAGGAACAAACAAAACTTGGCCAGGATAACTTCTTTACAATTAACAGCCAGCAGTATTGTACCATGAAAACTGACGGCCATCTTACCAAGATGAGTGATCTGTAATAAAGCTTCTTTTCCACAATTATTCACATCCTGTACTGCTGAAGCCTAGATTTATTGTTTAAATAATTACTTTCTGAAACCACTTTAATAAGGATGTTCTTGGAGTGTCATCTCTACATAGTTAATAATTGGGATTTAATTTGTTCCTAGATGTGCCCAAAAGGCAAGGCACTTAAGACAGCAAAATAAAAATTGGACCCTTTTCTCACACATTCCAAACGATTAGGTTTTGCGAGGATACTGAGGCCTTGGCCCATACCTGGAGTTCATGCTGTGTCCTTCGCGCTCCGCAGTTCGCACCACAGCTGTGAATTTCTCCTCCTCGCTGCGGTCATCGTTCTCCAGCGCAACCCTGGCTTTATAGGTGGAGCTAGACTCGATCTCCTCGGCCAGCTGAGCAGCTCGGGCCTCTCGCTTCAGGAACTCCTCTGAATTGTCCCTTTCCAGGGGAACTCTGGAAACAAATGAAATCAGACATTCTTTAACTCACACCTGGAGTCACTTACCATTGATGCAATGTGATTAGATCAAGGCCTGACTGCATTTTAATTGAATCAAGGCTGAATATAATTTCCAACTCTTTGAGGATCTGTTTTTAGCTTCAAATTCCGCCAAGATAAAAAAAAAAACAGTAAATTCATTATATAAATGCACAAACATAGGCTGCACCATGAAAATTTGGTTTTTAAGGCAATGGAAATAAATTAGTCTTTCTACTTCAGGTTCCTGACCTGCTAGATGTTTACTACTTGATTCAAGTATAGAGGCCAATGCAGCAGTCAAGTCTTGACTGTGTTAATAATGGGTATACTACTAGCAAATGCTAACACTTAATTTAGGACATTAAAATCATGAAAGCTGGAAGGAAAAATATCCTAAACAAAACGAAGGGCACAATGCCCAATGCGACTGCAATGTCATAACAGGCAAGGCATGCTACTTTAGTAGGAAGCATTAGTTACTGCTTCCTCAGACTTCAAACCCTTATCACTATGTGTGCATGACGTGACCTGATTCTAGTGGAACCATGCTAACGTTATTTTGCTGAGAGACTGCAATCCTTCAATTTATGGATCACTGAGCTAAAGAGACTTTAGCAGCTGACAAGTCCAAATAGTACGAGTGTGTGAAACGGCATTACCAACCTGCGTACCCAAGACCACTTGTGAACCACAGATGAAACCCTGATAAAATGAGTACTTACGTGTAAGAGGATAGGCTGCTATCATAAGTCGATTTCACACCATAATTCTCTTCATTAAATCTGAACATGTCATTAGCATCCCAGCCATTGGACTGTAAAACAAAAAATTAATTGCAGTTATGAATAGATTTATTCTCGTGGGACAATGAATAAACAACAATTGTAGATTTTAAATAAGAGGTTTTTGATCATTCAGAAAGTGCCTTTATAAAAGCATTTTCTTGTTTCGGGTTCTGAGACAATGACAAATTTACCAGAACCAGTAGACAGCCAAATGTGTTGACAGATGCAGTATAAAATACTACACATTTATCTGTATAATATTACAGCTTATTAAGCAACCAATAAAAAAATCTGACTGGCTATACTGGAATTAATGAAAAACTGCAAGGAGACTTAACTGTGAAACCGATAATACTCTCAAACCTTACATTTGTTTGGACGTTTCTGTTTATATACTTATAGAAAAAATGAATTTAGTGCAAAGTGTGTAACAGTCAGTGATTTAAAGATTAAGGCAAGACTAGGTAGAAAAAACTGGAGACCTCGATGTTTGCACTGTGTTAAGGTGGAAACAACTGAGGTACACAGAGCAGTGACGCACATTTGGTCCAAGTGCTGCTGCAAAAAGAGCTCAACAGGAAATAGAAATCATTGCTGCTCGAGTGAGGCACAGCAGGTGATGAAGGTTTCAGTGATCCTCGGGCATGGTGGTGACCTTGGTACAAAACAAGACTTGGTATCTTCCTCTACACTTATCCTGCACTTCAAAAGAGTTCGCCATCATCCCTGAACTCTGCTAATCTCCTTCCTTTAAGACAGCTCACTTAGCCGTGCATCGCCCAACACAACACTGCCAGCTTTGTCATAACCCAGGGTCAACCAATGACCCTCTAAGGCATTTATTTTGAAACTTAAAACCGCAAACATCCGGATTTTGAAGAAACCCACCACATCAGTCTCCAAGGCTTCTAGGCTCTCACTGGCACTCTCCCCACCATCCCAGGGCTCCAAGTCCTTTTCTTTGTGTTCCCCGTTTACTCTAGCACTAACAGCAGAGTCTGTGAAGTTATCTGTAATTAAAAAGAGCAAGAAAGCATAAGTCAGCTGTTAATTGGCATCACATTTCAGCTCCACAAAGAGAAAATGCCGATACATATACTGAGCATCAAAAGAAACTTTTCATTATGCATGTATGGTTTTTGAAAAAGTATACAGATTTGGATATCAAATGTTTGTTGTAAACCGATCATTTTTTGAATGAACGCGATGCACTTGAGTGACTTGACTACTGCAAAAGCACTAAATCATTTTATTTGGGAAAGCTGACACAGGTGATGAGGAGATTTATCCTGTTAAATATTTACCTTGTTTTAATTAAAATAGCCCACTTATCTAAAGAATAACACCTTGATTCCACTGATATTTTGTAGGCTGGGAAGTCAGCACAGCTGCTTGATGTTTGGAGTGACCACAGCCAGTTTCTAAATTGGCAGAACACTACAATGAAATAATCCTTCAAATGAAAGGTCACAAAGTTCAACACCTTTCCAAGATCAATGGGGAAGGCCAAGTGTGAGGGTCTGACCAAAGTCCTGAATCTTGACAGAACTAGGCATTTAGTGGTTGAGTCAATCTGACCCCACTGAAGAAAAGTTACAAACGAGACCAGGTACATGAACAATTCTACATTGAACAAGTCCCAAGACCTCATTTGATGACCTTCCTACAGAGCGCTCACATAACAGCTTTCTTGCAAGAATGCGACATGACAAGCCGGCTACCAGAAGCAAGCGTTTGCAACCTAGGGACATTTGTATACCTTTCGCCGATTTAAATGGTGGCCACACATAACTAACCTGTGACTTTAACACCGCAGTCAATGGGCATAATGAATTTACAACCTTCTCCAAAACAAATCCTGAAAGCTTTATAAGTTTATGGACTTATGTGATAGTTTCTTTTGATGTGTAGTATATTCCAAAAAACACAAGCAAATCTACAGCATGCACTCAAACATTAAACACTATAATGTATGAGTTTCATAAGCACTCATACTGCAGCCTTTAGGCATGTCATATTTTAGACAAAAAATTAAACCTCTGAAACCGAAAAACACCTTTCACCAGTAGGAGTAAAAGTAGAATGGGGGAGGGGGGTAGGTGGCAAAACATTTGGACAATACTGCCATGATCCCCAGGGTTTTTGAAAAGAGCTTTAGACAAATGAATCTGCTGCAAGCAGCAGCAACAATATTGCCTCAGAGGAAGAGAAAAACACAGTACTAGCACTGTCACTATATTTGCTAGTTCAGGTTAATAAAACTAACCTCTCCAACTACAAAAATTAGTTTTGGCTCTTAGGTCAAAGAATACAGTGTTAGTGTACCACAAAATGTTTATATATATATGCAACACAAGACTTCCAAATGGCAATACTCTTGACAATGAATATGTGAAGAGTAAGAAGCAGTGGACAGACCTATATCAATAAAAACTGGTTATAACCTTACTGGTGCATAAAAGTTCTAGCAATTTGAATAAACCCTTGCAAATTGCTTGTGAATCAGTAAAAAATCAAGTGTTAATTAAGCAAACAAAACCACTATCTTTCATCACAAAATACTATTCCAAAAGGCCTGTACATTTCCACTTATTGAACCTGTAGATAGTTTGTCAGGTTTTTGGAGTCGCTTAAAATACGTCCCTTTGTCATAAATGAACTGACTAGTGAAGTTTATTAGAAGCATGCACTATATACAAATTTATGGCAGAAATAGTGTAGAAGCCTTTAGATCAATGCTCTTCACACAATTTATGCAATCAAAGCTTTCAGCTGAGAACAATGAACCTTCGGGCAGTGTCAAATCGTTATCACCATTGCTAGGCAATCAGCTCAGTATCTTTAACCAGTAAGCCTGTAAGTAACTGCAAGCGTTTACGAACTCCAAGAATTGTAAACTAACCAGATCATGGTTTCATTCCAGTTGTGATGAGCATAAAATAAACTGGCTATGTTCCAATATGACAAAGGTGCAGCTCTTGCATCAGAGGGACTCAAGTTCTGTACAGAACTTCCCCTCAAGGAATAAACCTTTTGAAATTAGTCATGTGAAGGGTAGCAATTTTAGGTCTGACAGAGCTGTTCCGATTTGGCTTGTGAAAAGTCATGCTTGCTTACATTATGTATCACTGATCAATTTACTCACATTTCAAGAAAGCTGCACTGTACCAGTACAAATGATTTATAATTACATTATAATGATTAGCTCACGTAACTTGCAAGCTGCATGTGATGGGGTTACATAGTTAAGACAAAACAGAAAAAATGAGGCTTTAAAAAAAAGTATCATTCATGCTGAACTGTCCCTAGCCCCAATATGTTAGCTAGACAACACCTCCAGAGAGCAAAGCAACACCTTGATCAAGACTAACTGATTTAATCACACGCTCAAACCACACCCAGAGTTACTGCTGACCAAAAAGAGGGCCTTTGGCTAACAGTTGTTGTATGAGAGGAGAAATCTGCAACAGCATTTTCTGACCTATTTTAAAGGACAACAATTCCCCCCCCCAATATACAATACTTTAAATGCAGAAACAAATTACAAATAATGTACAGGCAACTTGTCCATTTGGACTGACAAATTAATTTTCAGTCTTTAACGAAAATAGATATCAACTGCAACTGTTCTATAAAAAGTGCCTGTAAATGACTTTAACAACTACAAAGCAAGCTGTCTAGCAAGAATGAGGGAAATGCTGCATTGTACATTAGAATGTTCCATACTGCTAGTCCGTAAAGCTGTAGCGCATACACAATCAACTCAGGAAGCACTGCCTTACTGTATTCACATCCAATATGAAAGATTTCAAATATATTAAGTGTACAAAAACAAATGTTTGCTTCTATAACTGTGCTCAAAACTATTCATGTACAGCTAAGAATGCAGTGTTAAGGGCGATGCAAAAACCACCAGAAACAGGTGCATCACTGCAACAATTAATTAAATCTTTCACTAAATTTTGTCAGGCTTAAACAAACTATGGAGCATGCCACTGACAGCATTTAAAGAGCAGACCAATATGAAACATGGTAAAGGCAATTTTAAAGTTAGGGGATATATAATTTCTGGGAAAACAGTACAAAATAAGATATAAGATCACTTTATTGGCCAAATACAATTCCTTGTATTAGGGAACCCCAGCTTGCTCTCCATGAGACACACAGACAGGGAGAGAAGCTGAGGGTCAGAGCGCAGGGTCAGCCATTTATACAGCACCCCTGGAGCAGTTGGGGTAAAGGGCCTTGCTCAGGGGCCCAATGGAGTAGGATTCCTCTGCTGGCCGCAGGATACGAACCGGCAACCTTCCAGCCACAGGTCCAGATCCTGAGCCACAGAGCCACCACACCGCCCCCAGTGAAAATGAAAGGAGAGATGTACAATGAGATGTAATGTTGGCTTTTTGTGATTAATAACTGTCAGCATTTGGCAAAAAAAAATTTAAAACGTCACTGGAAAGCAATTAAGAGTCACTTTGGTATGTTTTCTTTTTGAATTATTTAAAACCAGAATAAAAGGTAGTACTGCCTGAATAAGCAATTTAAAAGTGACATTTACCACCTTGCCTGGCAAACGCAATCTTGTTTTAATTAAAACTAACGTATTCCACATTTCTTGATTGTTTCTGCTACAGACTTGTGTCCCACCTGTAAAACAAGTACATGGCACCACAAAAACCAACAATTTCATGAAGTTCAAATCGATGCAAGATTGATTTCCTGCAAAACTGGGAACAAGGGGGAAATGGAGAAGAAACGTTTATAAATGTCCTTGCAACTGTACCCTAAGTAATAACTGTAGTGAAATAGACATCACTCTGGACTAGATTGATGTTCAGATTTCACTTAACTAGGGTCTCGCACCTTCTTGTCTGGATTTCCGGCACTCTTCAGTGTCAGAGGCAGAGCATTTGACAAACGCACCATACTAATCTTAAAGACCGACCTTACTTAATTTCTGCCAACGTACATACTTGAGAGAAAAAGGCTAACTTGTGTTTCTTTGCATAAAAGTATGTAAATACGGCTTTGAAAACAGAACAGGGAATTTGCCCAGGTTTCAGATGGAATTAATCCAAGTGGAGGATGGGGGGTGAAGTAGGAAACCCAAGGTGGGATTTCATTTTTACACATAGATCAGGTTCTCTGTTCAATCACCTCATTTCACCTTGCGCACGCTTAATGAACCAATCAAACCTCGCGTTAGTCCACCTCCTCTGCATGCTTATACTAACATACAAAAACAAAACCTGAAAAGAAAGGTGGATGGCTGGCATATCCCAGATTAACAAAAAACACTTAGGTCACTAGAACAGCTTCCTAACATGAATACGTACTTAACATGCCAAGCATGGGGAGTGTACCTTAAATATTTTCACAACATGACCTCAAATCACTAAAGTGAAAACAATACAAACCCACTGGAAAAAGGAATCTCTTATGTGTTATACCAGCCAAAATGAAATCAGCTTTCCATGATGGGTTAAATAAATCAAGTTTAAAGCTTCAGGATTCCAGAAAACTAATTTCACGATTAAATACCATTTCAATTTAAACATACTAAAATACGACAATTGGGACAAAGCAAATCTCTGCTTGAGATTAATGAAACCGTGCTAGTACAGCTCATATTTCATCACATGCCCAAGCTTATGATTTTAGTGTTTTATGGAGATCAAGGCAGTCAAGGAAGGCAAACTGAAGTTAAAAATCAAAACTTTCTTAAAACAAAAGGGACTATAAGTGCTTAAAATAAAGTGTGTAATAGCATAAACAAACTTATTACCTGTTTCTGAAGAAACTATATCGATTACAGAGAAAAAGAAATTGAGAAAGCATCAGTACGAAGTAAATGAACATCTGAAATGAAATATTCATAACTCTAAAAATAATATCTGCCCATTTTAAACCATTCACTGGTTACAGCTTTATTCCTATCAAGATGTTAATCACTCATCACTGCTTGTCCTACTGGAAGAATGACTTACACATAGGACTGGAACAATGATTTTCACTTTACTCATATGTATAGATAATTTAATATCTCTTAATTTACTAGAATTGGAAATATGCATCTCAGTTTAAAAACACAATAGATGGAAGAGACTAATTTAAACAAAATCAAACAGTTTCTAGGCAGTTTGTCTGGCTTTTTTATATTCATGAAGATAAGTGAAATATCAGCAATTGGCATCTGATAATGCATTTTTCAATTAATAAAATCTGGAACCAAAAATCTAAAACTCAGTAAAACCAAGAGGGTGTATTGTAAGAATAGTGTGTATATACAGCATTAAGACTAATCTGGTCAATTAACCTCTGCCATGTCCTTTGTGTGGAGTTATCTTCATGGATACACTCTTCATACAAGACAAAGCTGGACACCCATACTAATATTTATGCACTGAGATAGTTACCAGAGGAATAACTTATCAAAAGGCAGAACATTCAAATTAAAAGACCACAGTAATGCCTACCTTTCCTTGCATAATTCAAGTCTACATCTTTAAACTGCACCACAACAACATCCGACGCCTTGAATATCATACTGTCAACAACGTCTTCACGCTTGGGACCAAGACTGTTGTCAGGGCTTTTTCGGTGAGCAGCATCAAGCACCAAGTGACACTGAAAGACAAGGCCAGGATTACTTACTGCAACCAGCAGTCCCATGCAAAAACAGGCAGAAAGTGAAACTCGATAGGCGTGGTTACCTCAGGGCCATACGTCTTAAAAACTCCTTCAAACACTACTCCATTTTTGACCTTTAATTCACATTTGGTTCCCTGAAAAAGAAAAAAATAACCTGAAGCAATCTTAATATTCATAAAGTCCGATTAACATCAAACATTACAGCAATGCATATAATTATTTTTTTTTATACTAAGTTTAGAATGGGCAGCCTCTATACTCTCTCAACTTGAAATAAAAATGGCTAACGAGCAATGGTGATGCAGTTAACATTTCCACAACACCTTGTGCAAGTCCTAAAACTTACAGATATGCAGCAAGTCACAGACATCCTGTCCAAATGAAGCCCAGCATATACCACCACATGGGGAATCAGAGTCACAATCTACTGCTGAGATAGCCCATGCTTGAACCTGTTATTTGAGTAAGCACCTTTGCTGCCAGAGCTACCTGTGAATCTCACCTGAAAGTGCATTTCACAATAGTTCTTTATTCCACTGACTAAAATGGTTTCAGATATACTTCTTTGTATTAATCTCTAACAACCTAGGACTGTACCATTAGCAGCTAGTTGGAAGTGTCAATAGAGTAACAAGTCCTGGCTTGGTTTGTGGAGTACCCGACGACAACCGAGTCAGTCCTCTCTGATACACAGCTGTCGGCACTCAGGAGTCAGTGTGAAGTCAGAAAAAAAAACTGAAGATGCACACTTAAAGTTATCAGTATGCTGTTGTATCATCTTTCGCTGTTACAGAGGCTTGGAAAGGAATTTAACAGTAACAGAATTTGATTTAGAAATTAAAAGTTACATTTCTTCTTAAAGGAAAAAAATATGAATCCCTCCCAAATCATTTTTGTAAACTTATAAGGCTAACAATAATGCACTGGACAAGGAGCCCTTAAACATATTCCAAACAAGATTGAATGAGATCCACATGGCCAAACAGACAAACAGTTGAAAAACGTATTTTCATCTCCACACATGCGGCATGTACTTACTACAACGGAGGTCAGGACATGCACCATCCTCATGTTTGCATAAACCCCATTAAAGGCAACCTGCAAGAAACAATCACATTACACCAAACATCTGGGTACTGTGTAAAGGAAAAGGGCAATGTATAGTTTTTAGTGCCACAATGCAATATTCCTTATATAAACCTGAAACTATACACTCACACCATTACACTGTTCTCATAACTGAATAGTCCTAAAATTGAATTACCCCCAAAATAAAAGTGAGGCATAAAACAGCACGTACACCTCAGACTTTAGAAAACTTGAAGTACCACAAAAGTATTAGACAGTCTTGTACAGTAATAGGTTTATTCCATGCTGAAAAGAGAAGAACGCCTTCTTCAGGTGTGAGAAAGACAGGGCAGTAGGCAAAGGTAATGTAGCAGGAGAACAAGAGCTGGGAGAGAGGAGGGGCAGGAGGCGGGAGCAGGGGACAGATAGAGTGGCCAATCAGGTAGTGTGAAGTCAGGATAGGTGAAGAGAGGGGTGAAATGAAACCTACAATGAATAAAGAGAATTTAGAAGAATAAGAGTGTCGTTGAGAGAAGGGGAAAGGTGTGATCCTAGCTGCAATTCAAGGGAGCTGTGAACAAGAAGGTTGCGCAGATTAGGTGGTCAGCGATATGAGATGATGGGGCGATCAGAAAAGAGGGCCCAATGGAGGGATCATCCTGTAGGCTGGAAAAGTTGTTGCTAATGGTCCTGGGGATAGACAGTGTCGGGGCGGTAGGGAAGCACAAAGGTATGCGGTCGTTACGGCGGGGGCTCCTGCTCGAGTTGATGGACCGAGGCGTGTTTTTGGTCCGGGCAAGGGCGTTCTACTTTCACTAGGTGTTAACAGTCCTAACTACTACTATAGCACTACCAAAGAGATATTGACATTGTATGAGATAGCTGAGGATTACCAAAATCCATCAGGTTAAGAGAAAGCAAATCCAAATAAAACCCTGATCATGGAACTGCACTTGCCAAAATATTTCAACAGCTAATTACAATAAGGGTGCACTCAAACATGTTCAGAGGGTGCTTAATCATGTGCAACAAAGGACCACAAATAATCGCAATAAAAATATGCAAACCCAAAAGAATCTTTAAATGTATAGCTAATAGATCAAGTGTGGTGAATACATCTCTAGTGTTAGCAAAAGATACTTTGCTTTAGGAATCCTTTGGAATCTGTTTATTGACATAGGTACTCACACCCGAGCCACAGACTGCCTTATCAGTGGGTCACATTGTTTACTATTGAACACATTCTGTATGGTACTCCAGGAACCGATGACTAACCTTATAGCTATACCATGACCAACACAAAATGGTACTGCAACATGGTGAACTATTTCGAAATAAAGCATTGAAATCACTTCAAATAACACGTGGAAGTTTAAACATTGTTCTCAGGTCATGTATCGTGACAATGACTGAATTCCAACTATATGCTTTACATTTTGGGCAATTATCCTTCAAAGCATAATTTACCTGGAAGCATTTTTAGGGAAAAGTGCTACATCTCACTATTCTGGAAGCATTTTTAGGGAAAAGTGCTACATCTCACTATTTTTGCATCCCTTCTTAATCGTTTAATTTAAAACGATAACTTTTACAAGTGGAAATGTATTTTTGCTTAGAATGCCACCACCAGCTACCAGGGATTAATCCAGACGGGTTTAACCCTGGACAACAAACGGAAACAGCACAGAGTCTTTAGCCCCAACATCCTCATTTTGCTCCCTATTGTCTGTCACTTAAAAACTCATTTTGATCAAGTGGAGGAAAACCGAAAGAATGAATTTGTATAGTGTCACTCCTCTACATCTTATTTCAGACATACAAGTCCTATTAACAATGTGGACCGGACTGCCCTGGAGCTAGCCGATACTGTCAAGACGGGTGAAAAAAAAATCAGTTACAATGTTCGTTATACGTTACAATTAACACTTATGAGAGCTTTGCATTAAATTTAGGTGGCCTATAAAACAGAAATTCCATGTAATTTGTAAAAATAATCAAAAGAGCTTTGAGAAAGCTACAGAAACTGAAGACCTGTACTAATAGCAAGTAAAGCAAATAAAACCTCAGACTTACTGTAGCTGAAGAAGGGCCTTTTACACTGTTACGCCCCCTGAAATAAAGAATACCGCACCATTAGAACTCAGTATGGACAAAAGACATTTGTGAAAGACATGGCAGTTAATTTCTCAGTAGAAAATATTTCCCCATTATTTTTCTCCCTCCAAAATACTTTCTTCATTAGAACAGAAAATGATAAATGAAGGACATGCAGCCCTTCTAGTGCATTTGATTGCTAGAACCTCATCAACAAGTAACTCAGGCAGTCCTTTTCCTGAAGGATCTCAAGGAAACATGGCTCAGCAATTTGCTCCATATGCCCATAGCTATACATGAAGTCCAATACAATACACTGCTCACTCAGATATACCTGCTATCAAGCAGATACCCAGTGCACACTTTCATTCATGTAAAATACTAAATAGATAGGTATTTATGCAGATCAAGAAAACACCTATGCAATATAAATTTTTTAAAAGTCAGTAATGTTGAATCAAAACCAAATTTTAACACCCCAGCAGACTACTCTAAAACCCCAGTATATAAATCTATAAGAATACTGTCGATCTGTTCCAAACCCTTCATATCATATTAAGAAAATGTAAAAGGTTTGATTTTAGAAGTTATATAATCAAAGACACATTTTTAACATGTGCAGGACAATTAAAACAGAATTTTACCTTGACACTTAGAATTCTTTAACTACTGAAATAAACGAAATGCTCCTAGTTTATCTCCACATAGGTATACTTTATTTCATTTTATGCATGTTAACAGATGTTAACAGGACTATATAAAGCAGACTACTTCTGTTCACTTATAGAGCAGTGGTTCCCAGGCCTGGCAGACCCGTTCCTGCAAGTTTTGTTTTGTTTTTTACAGCTGAGCTGGTAATCCGTGCCAGCTGCTGCCTTTCCATGATCCGAGCGCTTGTCTGTTGAGCCATTTTCACACTCAGTCCTTGGTTTCAAAATGTTCCAACAGCAGTGCATTCATCCAATTTCAAGATGCAGAAATGTATGCAGGTGGTGTATTCAAAGTTTATTCCCTCATTGCCATGTAAGCAGCTCATAAGAGGTCAATATTTCATGAACGGACAAGTGGAAGGGACAATGTATTAAACTCTTCCACGGTGAATGTTTATTCTCTTCTGCAGGAGCCAAATCGTTTAGGGTAGAAATTAGGAACAATTTCAAACAAGTATCAACCCTATACTATTTGTCCATTACATATTAAATGAAGTATTAAACTGTACTTTAAACAAAATGCTTTAAGGTAACACAAAACAGAAGCAATGAGTGGGGTCAAAAAGCCAAGTACACTGAACTCATGATCTTAAAAGACCAAATTTAATCTTGCCGATCATTTTAACAGGGAAGACTACAAGGAGACATTTCGGCCTATTAACCTTGTCTAGGATCTCACCCAGGATTATCGGTTTTACATGATTGGGTGGCTTGTGTCTGACACATACCTCTGGGTCAAGTGCCTCTCGTTCTCAGCTGTGAGTTTACCTCCTTTTGATTTCCACCAGCACCCACTTGTGCACGTTTCAACACAATGGACCTCAAAACCAGCAGCGACTGCCGATGCTTTTAAGGGTTTTGAATAGCTGAATCATTACACTTAGCAACACATTCCACTAAAACTAGGAATAAAGTCGCCGGTACATTGTTGAATGCAGAGAAACGTAGATCTTTTTTGTAACCAAAACCCAAATGGGTTATAATTAAGGTCCAAGTAGTATACTGTATAATTTATCAGTCACTCGATTTAAGTACTACACTCAAAAAAAGGGGTATAGAATTTTTAGATTTTTAGTTATAAGGAGACAATCCAAAACTTTGAAGGAGCAGCTGGAAAGGAAAAGGGTATCTTAATCATAGGTGCTGTCAATTGCTGTAAACCCAAGAAAGCGAAAATCCATTGGAACCAACGGAAATAAACAATTTTGATCATTTTGTGAACCCCATAGCTTCAATGGCTTCAATCACCGGAGGTGCACCAAGACATTTATCTGAATGTAAGCACTCATGTAGAGGGTGAATCTGTAATCATGACGCCTAAACTACTTGAAAGCAAATTTGAACAATACTGATTCTTAATTTCACTTCTTGTATTAAGTGGCCACCTCTGTAAATTTCACCAGTTGTCACAAACAAATGTGTTACTAATATTTAGACTAGCATCATTTCTCCTAATGCCAACATCTAAACCTAAATTAAAACCTAATAAGAATCAAAGGAGTTTGTGGATTTTGGCAGTTGCTTTCTCATGGAATAGAGCACACAGCTCACAGCCCCTATTCTAAATATTTTAAGATAAACCTGAGTGAACACAAATACTAGCATATTAGCAAGCTACTAATTCAACAATTTCAAACTAAATACAAATCATAACATTAAAAACAACTACAACTACTAAACCAACATGAAAGGAAACTGCAGTTACCATTCAAGGCGCACAACTTTAGGTCATTCACTATCAAAAATGACAAATGTTAATAATTAAGCTTACAAAAAGTGTGTGGTCTACTTAGATGAAGGAGCATTCTACAGGTATTAAGCTGTTAATACCAGTATTCACTAAACTCCTAGCATTTTTACTACCAACCTGGTACAAAAAACTACCTCATATCCACAGCCTTTGACCCCGATTCAGGCATAAATCGGACCAATTTAAAGAATATTAACTGAAAGGTCAACTTTCCTTCTATTTAAGCTTTACCGGGATTCTCCAACAATAATTCAAATTACCAGATGAAGTGTCAATTAGACATTTTCCCCATGTTTAGCTGCCAACCAGTAACAATACCGATAAACTAGAAACTTGCTCACACACTCCATGGGACTATAGAACAGTAAGAAAAAATAAAAAAGGTAAATAAACTTTTCCAGGTGCCTTGAGAACCAAGATTCCCATTCAGAAAAATGCACGAGAAAAGGAATTGACTCTTGTTCTTTAAGTTTATAGATTACAGAATAACTTGCCACAGGTGACCCGCCAGGTGAAGCACACCCCTTTTCCATCCCTGAAGAGGAGCGGATCTCCCTGCCCGGTGATGAAAAGCAGCCCCTGCAGTGCACCCCGGCACCCCAGGGGGGTCAGGACCACCACCCCGTAGGGTTGGGAGGGGTCCAGATGGCAGGAGCACAGGTTGGTGATGCAGTCATCACCCTTAGCTCTGAAGAGTCCTCTATTAGTGAGGATCTGTTTGAGCACCTGTCAAGAGCCACCGCCAGGTGACCCTGGCTCCACAGTCACAGATTGTGTGGTGGGCACTCCCCCCTCACAGCCCTCTACGGAGCAAAGGGTGCTATGCAGCTTCCATCTCCATAGGGAAGAGGACTTCCATCCACTACTTTCAGGTGGCACCTCAGCTGACCCATTCAGCCGATGTCTGTGCAGACCTGTTGGTTAGACTGGGTGCCCAGCTGGACACTAAACAGTGTGCCGTGGACATGCATGGACTAGATGCCAAAGCCCTAAGCTGTGACAGACAACATGTGATCAGGTCAGACCATTCCTCAGGCCCGCCAGGTGGTGAATGAGACCGACCTGATTGTTCCTGCCTCAACTGCAGGGTTTCCAGTATGCCCAGTCCTGAAGAAGGGACAAAGAATGAAAGCCGAGAAGGCTTTCCCCCAACCATCAGCCCAGTCTGTCAACCTGAACCTGACCCTCCGTGGTACTCCCAGACAGGAGCTGAATGGTCGAGCCACCTGCCCGTCAGTGCAAGACATGGGAAAGGGGGGGTGTCAGAATCCCCGCTCACACTGACATGGGCCTGGTGACTGATAGCGAGTGCCATGACTGTGAACTAGCTATCCCAGTGCTGGGGCAGCTCCCTGGCCCCCTGGCGAGGGAAGGGGGGGGAGCGAGCAGGTGTCCTACACCTACCCCCAGCGAACGATTGCAAACATGCCGATAGAGGGATTCCTCAATCAGGAGGTGTGCAAGGTGGACCTGAGCATTGAGAACAGGGTAATAATTCCAGTTCACTCAGGTGTTCCAGATGACCACTCAGCCGAGGGTCAGTCATGCTCCATCGCCGAGAGCGGCGACAGTCACTCAGGAAATGACTGGGAACAACCACCCTAATAGACTTTTGGGGGGACTAATTGCTGCTGTCACTGATGTGGGTTTGCTATTTTTGGCAGGTCTGTTTGCTGCTAACACGGTCACCCCGACGACCCTCGGAAGGGAGATGTCAGAGATTAGCGGCAGGCTGTATCAACAGCAGCAAGAGCTAGAAAGCCTAGGGCAAATCGTACAGGTCAACCTTCATGCAAAAGTGTCCACACAGTGGACAGGATTGTCGATGTGACCCAGTGGGATCATGCGACTGTCAACGTGATACAGTAGGGCAGAATGTTAAGGCTGGACCTGCTCAGGGAGCTCAGTGCCACTGTCCAACGATTAGGCTGGTTACAAAGTGCAACCTACTTGGTCTCACTCTCCTTAGTAGAAGGAGATATCCTCACACTAGTTAATGTTATTCCCAATACTGTTTTCTGTAAGAATTCTCGAGAGGTAATGTGAATGTCATCTCAATGAACATTAACATCTGAATGGACACCACTTAACTCCGTTTTTGTGTTTGAAGGCAACAACACCTCAGGACCTCATGACCTCTAAAAAAGGGGGGATATGTACTGGCAAATCCTTATTAATGACAGAATTAAGTGTTGCTGTGCTTTCCTAAATAAGGCCCCATCTCTCTCTCACCTCTGTGGTTCAGCCGCAGAGAAGCTATTCATGCAGTTCTGATTTAGGGTGTTTTCTCTCAGAGAAGGAGCAGCTCCCACATGGAGATTTCATGCCTGGCTATAATGATCAATGGCCATTCCTGGCACCTATCTGTCTGTGATAGTCTTGGGAGCATCTGGACTGCGGTCCTAGATATCAGAGGTCATTGTGACTCATCTCTCACCTTGACCAACCAATCAGGAACCTGCAGGGCATGGTAAACCCATGTGGGCCTGAAATGCCTGCTAAACCATCTGCACCACAGTCCTGGTTTAAAAGACACTGCACAACTCAGAAACTCTGCTTCTCCGGCCAATTTTCACACCCTCAGAGACAATTATGTGGTGGTGTTGTCTGTATAGGGACTGGAACCTTGTTCCAGCAAAGTGCCAGCCCAGGGAATGCCCATACATAAATCACTAGCTAACGTCAACATGGACGCTTTGTTTGATCACCGGAGTATATGTTTGGACTCTGGTCGACCACCTAATTAGCTTTTTATTCAGCAGCAGCACTACACCAGAAGCAAACCGAGTCTCATCCCCCTAAAGAGTGAACTGCTCAGACCCGCGGTCACCCTCTGTGCATGGAGACTTTCTACTAGTCAGCCGGACTACTAGTAGGTCCCTGAGAGCACGTCGCCACAGCAGACATTTCTCTTCCAGCTCGTCCGACTCCAAGCTGCACCCCCACTGGTTGGCCGGGAGCCAGAGGACACCGGGATGATCCCTACTGAACGCCGCAGCTATTGGACGCAGCTGCCAGCTGGTCTTGGTGCCCGTGCCGGGAAATACAAATCCATACCTGGATAAGTAAACCCAATGTTCTACAGTGCATCTCAAGAATTCAATTGTTGCCTTAACAGAAGTTATCATCAATTCAATTCATCTGAGTAATATATTTACTTTTGAGTAGCTAATGTAGACTGATTAACGATAGTATTGCTGAATGGTATATTGAATCATATTCTTTGTTCATATCTTTGTGTTTAGCATCTCTTCGTGATTATATACCTTGCACTTTGATAACCCTCACAGTAAGATCTGACACCTGTATCCAGGCAGACTGTTATATGTTTTATATGCACAAGTTATACATTTATTAATGCATCTCGTTTATTGAATCCGTGTGTGCGCGCGCATCGCTGATCGATTGATTTTCTAATAACCATAACGAATCACCTCGTGATTACTGCTACCATTAATAAATTGTCCCAGTAAATTTACAAAACCCCTACACACTTCTGCAATTTAGAACTAACAGCTTTTTCAACAAACAGGCCACATGAAAAAAATACTGGCCTATATCCCTGAAATGTTTTCTTAGATAAGCTGCATACTAGATACCTGGGTCCTGTCATGGAGCTCAAAATCTCCAAACCACGTGGATTAGTCTTTTGTAGTCTGTGACAGTGGCTTAAACTGCACCACTGAGAAGCATAATCCCTCCTTCCACATACGGTCTGCTTACTCCACAGAACAATTCTGCAAATCAGTGCTGTTAAGATACTGCACATTAGTCATGTCAAACAGGAGTTGCAATTTTCAGAAAAGCACAGGCCAGACAGAAGGCATAATGTTTTTTTTCTGCATTACTCCTCCCAGACCAAATGCTTGTTTGCACTACCAGCTTAAACAGGGCTGGTCCAAGCCACTAAGGCCACTGCCCACAAGAACATGAAGAAGAAACCTACTTCAATGAAATTGGTCAAAAATGACAAGGGTAGAAATGAGCTTTTATTCCATTCAATTTTGCAGTGCATATCTTGATTTTCACTAAAGGATAAAGGCATAGACAGACAACAGAATACCTCTAACACAGAATCACACTTTCCCTTTCTCCCCGTCAGCTAGGAGAAAGCCTGGTCTCACTAACATCCTGGGTTGACGTTCTGAACACTTGAATCAGGTACCCCCAATTAATTTACTGCATAAAACACAAGATGAAAGAAATTAATTCGGAAGACTGGTTCACATTCAAACTACACGACAGATAAATGGGTTCATCATGAAAACCAATGGACAAGATCTCACCTGCCTATTAACATTCATATTTAAAAAAAGAAAATAGATTCCACATACTTAAAGGTCACAACTAACAAAAAGCACCCAGTTGGACAACAAAAATGTGTACCAGAGTAAGATTACCTTAAACATCTGTCCACAAGGCATAACCAGTATAAAAATCTAGCCACTTGTCCTCAGTCACCCCCACTGTACAAATATTAATAAATCAAAAATATCTTCAAGACTACATCACTGAGAATAGAGAACGTATTTATGGTCCATTCATTATACTTCATGGCTATTAAACTATTATGACGTGACAGCTTTAAAAACGATGCATCACCAAGAAAATGCTTCTAATGCATAGACAAGTGCTCCTTTAAAGTCATTTTTAAAAACCCTACTGTTAGCTCCAGCTTTAGAAACTGAGCTTCTCCCCACTCCAATGGACTGGTTGGCTAAATTAAAACATCCCAATTTAGCGTCTTAGAGACGAAATTCCAACACCAATAAAAATAAAAATGACCTTGAAGTGCCTTTGGAAATTTGATCATTGTGAGAAGTGAGAAACATAAAAACTGTGATGTACGGGGATTCAGTACCACTGAAATAACCCCTCCAACATTATTCTGAAGTTCAGTAAAAGAAGTTAACATGGAAGTACAGGGCTTAATCTTATTTTAACTATAGTATATTAACATTACTCAAGGACAAACTGAAAACCAGTCATTTGTGACGTCCTTTGATTTTCTTCATTAGGCGTTTGCCCAGAAGCATGCCACCCAGTAAAATAAAATCGAAATCAAGTTCACTACAAATAGTGCATAAACCAGGCATTATCTTGATCAATCTGATTCCCTAAGCACACAAACCAGGTGAAAGGTGTCAGCTGCTCTCCACAGCCTCCCCAAGAACCTGTAAGGATAAGCAAGGCTCTCCATTTCAGCAATGAACACAAGTTCGCCCACTCAATAAGCCCCAGCAGGTACACCCACGTACCCCAACTCGGCGCCCTGGGTTTTTTTTCCTGGAGGCAAAGCTCAAAACCGGGCCACTGACACAGTATATTAACACTACACCTTTAAAAGCATTCATGTCAAAGCACTCAAATGCAGGGCTTCAGCTGCGCCCTTTTATCAGCTCAGTAAAGGTATTTGTTGACTCAATAGGTTAATAGTTCCTGAACTAAACTACTTGATGAAAACGTATATAAAAACATCACCGTGGCTACTCCTAGACCGGGAATTCAAACCAGACCTTACTGCAGAGAGCTTCATTAGTCATTTTTCCAGACACGATTCAAAACGCCACTTGTGAGCAATAACGCAACCCCAACATTATTCCTCCGCACAAGAGAAGGTCACAACAGAAGCCGCTGCCGAAAACCCTTTTTTTCTAAAAAAAAATCAGCTTTCACTGAAATCGGCCGGAATAGCGCTCGCAACAGGATCTCCACCTTCCTTTAAAAAAAAAATGGTCTGCCTCTCCATTCACGAGTGTAATTTGTTCAATCCACCCCACCTCCCTCACACAGCGATACACACTTGTTAATGCATCGTGTAGAGAAGAAGGTAACACTGCACAGACAAAACGAGGCGGAAAACGGCATGAAAGGTTACCAGCCAGAGCAGGCCCATGCAGCAAGACGCTTCAAGGTACCCCTTGCCCTCCTCCACGAAACCTGCAGCACAGGTCAGTCTCCCCACCCACCACCCAGCAGATTCAGGGCAAAGCCGCTAGAAAACACTGCACCCCGTTCAAACACTGACGGCGGCGTCAGAGGGGAAGCCCGGATCGCAGCCGGGATGTGGCCCACGAGTGGATTTAAAATGGGGGGGTGGGCAACTCTGCAAGGCCGCTCCGGCTGCACGGATGCGCCCCGGCCCGGGTCTGGCGGCTCCCCCCGAAGGCATCGCTGGCTACACTGGGGGCAGAGTTAACAGCTCTTAGCTGGGGTGGGGAAAGGCCTGTACGGCTACCGGGCTGCCGCAGAGGTACAGGGCTGGGCGCGGAGCAGGGCCCCTCGCTTCAAACGTGAAGCTCTCACGCCGGTGTGCGCAACGCAACAGCGCCTGACGCCTCAGCCAAGGCAAAGCGCACCGACTGCACGGCCGTGCCGGTTCTCGTCCTCACACACACACACACCAGGTGCTGAAGGTCCGGTTGCGACCGACGCCGCGGCTCCGCAGAAGCCGCCCCGGGCACGCAGCCTCTTGCAACCCGCCACACAGCGGGCACACGCCGGCCCTCGCCCGCTACCCGACCGCGGGCAGGGACCGGTCCAGCCTACGGGCTCACGTCCCGCCCGCAGACACACCTCCGTGAAAGGCAGGCGAGGCGTGCAGGTTCGGGCCGGGCCCGACCACGGCAAACGCGCAGCGAAATCGCCAGCCGGCGTGGGGCACGGCTCCCACCGAGGAGGCATTTCAATAACGCTGACCAGCGACAAAAAAAAAAAAAAAGCCGAAGGCTGCGTGCTGCTGCAGGAGGCCCGGAAAGGTGCGCTAGGCCCGAGCATTCACATTTATTTCAACAGACATTCACGTCTTCGCACCCCCCAAACCTCAAAACCCCCCCGGGCAACCCACGTTAACGCGGCTCCCGGGACACGGCCGGCGGGGTGTCAAGGGATCTGAAAGCACCGACCTGCCCAGGCTCTGCCGTCCGCCGGTTCCCCCGCTTCCCCCGGCACCAGAGGCCGCAGCGGGGCCGCCGCCGGGTTTTCGGTTACCTCCGGCCTGCTTCATGGACATGACGATGATCCCATAAAAAAAAAAACAACGTACTTAACGGTATATCGGCTAATGTCTGGTAAAGGATACAACCTAAAAAAAAAAAAGAGACAACTAAAATAACGATGACACTACCGACGACTAATTTTCGCAATTAAAAAATACAGACTATTTCTTCTTTAAAAGACAGTACGTCGATGATCCTCAGCTAATGAAAGCGTTATTCCTGTCCCGTTGTGTTGTATTTTAGCGACAACAGACAGGATTTTCGGCTTCTTCGGCGTCTCTCTCCGTTGCTATCAGCGAAGGGACCAAAACAGTCTGAGAGAAGACAAAAAACAGCGGAGGGATATATCCAGGGCGCAATGCTGCGTACATCCACCAAATTCCCCTTCCAGCCGCCTAACAGCTCTCCTGGGGGCCAGATTAGCGCAGCCTGCCTGGGGTTTTCAGTGAACCCGATCGGGGGAAGAGGGGTTTTGAGCGGGGGGTCGGTTTAAACGCCGGGGCCGGCGTTGCGGGCCGGCGCACTATTTACAGGAAGTCGGAGGACTACCGAGGTCCTGTGGCCGTGGTGCGCCCGCTCCCCCCCCCCTCACCACCACCACCACCACCACGTGAGCCGGCGCGAGGCTCGGCAGCGGGACTCGCGGGTAGGGTCCGCGCGCGCCTGTGTGCGCTGTAGCTGCACAGACAGCTCACTAAAGACACGGCTCTCTAACCGGTTTGCATAAAATTAGCAACACTTTATATCATTTTTCGTTTCACGAATTGGCAGCGTCCACTGATCCCTCTCCCCCGGTTTAATTATATTTTTATTGTTTTGCGTGTGCAAACTAAAGCCGGATATCCTCGGTCTTTACTGACCGTATGACCCGCTTTCATTTGTTACCTGTCAGTGACATCCCCAATTAGAATAACGTCTCCAGGGCTGGGGCTGCATGTGCATATTTATTGCAAGGTAGAGCTTGACTTGCGTAGTCATCTCTCATTCATGTCACTTTAAATTATAATTCCTTGCTTGCATATAGTACTTCGCATCCCTGTGGATTATCCCGGAGCGCTTCCCACACAACAGGAACCAGTTCCTTCTCCTCTGAATCGCATCAGTTCAGGGGGAGGAATGAGAAACCGCATCACCAGTTCCATTAAGGGAGACTGCAGGGAGACCAGACTGTACGAGAGACCGGTGTGCTTCAATTCAGGATACTGGCACTAACACCCTTAAAGGTTTTGAAAAATTCGAGGCAAAAATGATTATTTTGTTATGCCCAAGCAGTCTGGACCTCTGCGATGGACCGGCATCCCACCCAGGGTGTCCCGAGCTTTCTGGGAGAGACTCGGGCTCCCCCATGACCTTGCAGTGGATAAAGCAGTGGGGAAACGGGTGGTCAGGACCTGAGCTAAATGTCACATTCGGAGGTCAGCACCTCCTCCGTCCCAGTGCTCCCTGAAGCCACACTGAAGGTTTGGTTTGGAAACAGTGGACCCGAGGGTAGGGCGCCCCCTAGAGGTTCTGGGTCACGCCGATACCCTAGCGTTCACCTCCAGGCGACTCGCAGGCACGCCGCAGGGGGAGGAGGAGTGGCCGAGTCGTCCCCGAGCAAGGCGGGGGGGCCTGGGAGAGGGCAGGGCGGGAGTCTTCACAGGCCGCTGGGGCTGAGGAGGTCTCCCGCTGGAAGACGGGACCCCAGAGAGCGAGTCTGACCGAGGGTCACACGAGCGCGTTCGGCCCAGACCTCCAGGCGGGCTGGAGCCTCTATTCACATCAAGAGCTCAGTGAAGCCGCACGGGGCAGCTAGAGACACTCAAGGAGTGAGTCAAGACATCAGCATGTCGCATGTGGCTTATTGACGGTGCCGTTTCGACAAGAGCCAACTCGTACTTTCTAATACAGCAACGTGGGCAAAAACAGATGGGGCGTTAACAGTGGCCCGCCCCTTCTTGGCGAGTGTTGCCGGGATACAGAAGCTGTGAGAGCCAGAGGTGGGCTAGTGTTTGGTCCAGCTGGGTTAAGAGTTTAACCCTCATTTGAAGAAGCAGCAAATAAAATTTCAAAAAGCACTTAGGGACAGTTTGTATCTGGGCAGACACATTTAATGCAGATGGGGGCAGGGTCTCACAAGCAGGTGGTAGAAGAAATGAAAATACACCTAACGGGAAAGGCGAGGGTAGAAGAGGGTACTTATACAAAGGGCTTAAGGGCTGATTGGATGAATCAATCCAAGGATCTCATTCAGCCTTTCCTTGCAGATGAGATGCTTGTACTGAGGCCGGGGGGGGCAGCCTCCCCTCATTTCCATACCTTTCTTACTGGTGTAAAATCAGAGAGGGGGGTGTACTGTAGCTGTCTTCACATCACACAACCACACATTCCTTTGTCGACTTGTTCCGGGACTGTAATGTGCCACACTACACTGCATTTAAAATAAAAATAGCCAGACAGGTTAAAACGACATACCACACTCTTGAAAAGTTTATTTCCACACTTCCCCCCAAAAAAACCAGGGAACAGCTCTTCACAATGTGTGCTCTGTTACACCCGTCGTGTGAAGGCCACCAGGTTGATGCCTTAGTACAATCTGCACCATGTCAGTGTCCTCAGTAATTAGGAACGCTGTGCGCTGCGACACGTACAAACGGATTTTGCCCCCTTCCTCCCTGTACACACACACACACACACATATCGGTCATTTTTAAGTTTAAACACACACACTTTGGAGCTTCTTAACACCAGCGGTTCCCAGCCCCGGTCCTGGGGGTTGTTCTTTCATCCTCGTCGTCAGTTACATGATTGGATTTGTAATGGACTTCATCACACAGGATTAATCTGAACTGTGTGGCTGTTGTCAGATGTTACCCTGTGGGAGGTAGCCTTTTAACTACTGCATTTCCTAACTCAAATCAAATTCCAAACTCTTGAGTCTAGAGAGCACCGCAAACATTCCAATCAAGCACCTTATTTAATTCAATTAAGCCTTCAATTAAGTAATTAAACGCAGCTGGAATGAAAACCAGGTGTGTGGGCCTCCAGGACCAGGATTGGGAACCTTTGCTTTGTATCTTAGGGTTGCAGATTTCCAAGAATCTGGCTTGGGCCCACAGTACTCAGGCTAACTAACAGCTAAATGCAGACTGACTGCTATCAATTACCGCCTACAGTAGAATGTTGTATTTTTTTACACTGCATACAAGACTGTAAATTGTATATTGTTTTCTATACTGTGTGTTGTATCTTACTGTATACTGGAAGATACTCTCTTTTGTAGTACTGGCTTAAATAGAAACAGTATTGTTCTCTTTACCCGTCTGTACGCTGAGAGTACAGGCGTGAATAAGAATTCAAATGTACTCGTTATAAAGGGCGAATTAGCTCTACACTCGGACCCCACCTCCAGTCCAGCCCAGGGAGGACGAGGAGGGCCAGACGGGCTCCTCGCTCCTGCCTCCTCCCCAGCGCCCGGCAGGGGAGCTGGTGCTGCGCAGAGGCGCGGAGGTGCTCTGACCTGGCGGGGCGCTGGTAAGAAAGCTAGCCCCAACCCCAGCGATGGCGGAGGGGTGCTCTGCTGGCCCCTCTGCTCTGCTTTGAGCTGGGGCTCAGGTTTCCAGTGCCGGGGGTGTCCACGCTGCCTGGGAGCCCCCCGGCACACCCCTCACCCCCACCACCCGAACTCGAAAGCAAAACCCCATCTGAACTAAGAGAGCCTGTATAAACACCATGGCAGGGAACCTGAGAAACAAAACTGAGAAAATGTAAGGGAATATTAGAAAGAAAGAAAAAAAGGTCTTAATAACTCTTGCCTTTTGATTTCTTTAGACCAGAAAGTGACTCAGATGACCCAGGGAAGGTGGCCATTGTAAGCAGGAGATGTAGGTAAACAGGATCTAGTCATATTTGGGAAATAAATGCGGACTCCTGCAGAATATAGTATGTAAAACACAGCAATGCCCCAGAGAGGCCACCCCCACTGTTGAGAAAATCAAGACAAACGTGCTTTTCACAAGACAGCGCAGAGAGAGCAGTACTCTTTCAACAGGTTTGAACTATATAACTGAAATGAGTACGGCCCAAAAAATACCCGACGCTATACATTCCGTCATTTCGGAAAATACATTTTCAAGAGGAAGCGTAACGCTGGGCGGGGAGTGGTTTTTTTTTGCAGGTGTAGGCCGTCATTCCTTGACCGGGGAGAAGGGAAATCTACGTCGCGCTCTGATGAAGACCTGTGGCGAACGTCCTCGCGCTGCCACGCGTGACCCGGGTTCGGCCGGACAGCCGTACGGGTCGGGCACCAGATCCTACGCTCCACTTGAGAGCGGTTCTGAACAAACACGGGCCGCCCTAGTACCTAGACAAGGATGTCAAGTAAATACAATGCAGGAGCCTTCCGTTATTCATGCTTCTCTTTGTATGAGATGAGGAACCCAATCTGTGGCCAAAAGAGGAATATCCCGTCCTGCTAGCCCAAGGGTAAAAACCCTTTTGCAAAGTGCTCACTTCGGGATGGTCAAAAAAACAACACGCAGCAAGCCTTTCCAAATTTCAATCTGCAGCCGTGACAAGTATAATACAACTGCAGCACAATGTTACAGTGGTGCTGAAACACACACATGGCACTGGAAAGGATGACAGAAACAACAGGAGGAGTGAGTCTATAATGCAAATTGCACATTCCAGATGAATAATTTTGGGGTAAAAATGAAACGTCACCTAATGTTACCAATAGCACCTGTACAACACTGAGGTGAGTATATTAAAGAGGTGCCACTGACAGCAGAAGAGCCAACAAAAAGTTCCAAACTAACTCCTAAGCATACATTTTCTACATAATCTGTGACAATTCATCAGAGATCTCGAAAATAATCTTGCGTGTGTAGTAAACGTAGCTGCCCAGAAACCTGCCCTTGGTGTGGTATGGCACTTTCTGATGACTTGCCTGACGATCAATGACACTGAGGCATGTCCATATTATACTGTATCTGCTATCACTTTATATTACCAAAAAGATTATTAATCTATAATGCATAGCTTGCAGTGTATCCCTTCATTACCCTTGAACTGCAGTGCTGCAAGCACCAGCTAAACCAGGTTCTGTGCTTCATACAGAGTGGTCCTGACAGTACTGCGAATATAGTGTGGGTGCTCTTTTTCATGTAAAGTAATAAATTCTCCCCTCAGCCTGAGCCAGGTCTTTGTGTCAAAAAATTCAAAATTGTAACAGCACCATTCACCAGCAGTAGCCACAGAGCTATACAGCAGTTGACAATATTGAACAATGTGTCCACAGTTTCCTGCCTACACACCTGTGTTGCTAAGAGGGAGGGCAGTGTAGTTTAGAAACCCCTGAAGGTGATTTTGGGTGCCATTAGCAATAGTAATGCACTTAAATACCATCACTAAACATAGATATTCTACTTCATTCAAAACTGAAAGCAGCCTAGACTGAGATGTTTGCAAAAGGAAGAAAACTTTTCCAGTGCAGAAGCAGTGGAGTGTGCTTTAGTTTAGCACCCAGGAAGAACCAGTGTGTGTCCTGCATGTGCTGCTGAAAAAACATTTACACCTAAAAGAAAAAACCATCAAGTCGCCAGATCTGGGCCCCGATATCAGATGCTGAAAGAAAAAATGTTAAAAAAACACTGGATAACGTTGACAGTTATTTTAAAAACTACATTGATTTCATTATAATGGTATATGGGACAAAACGGCAATCCATGAAGAGTATCATGGCTTTTCCAGCAATAGTCAAGTCAATCAAATTGCATTTGGATCAAATAGGGGAAAGTATGATGGGTCAAATGGATTCCTTTGTTACGATTTTCTAATGTCCAAAGATCTAGAAATATGTTTTCTACACATTAATAGCAAATAAATATCAGTGTAAAGCTTGACTTTGAATCAATCAAAAAGAAAACAGACATCAAAGTCATTATGTAAATGGGTACTAGGACATTGCTATGGTTTTGACGCAGACTTCGACAAGGACACGTTAAGGACGATGTGCCTGCTCCAGAAACATCTTTTGCGGGAAGAGCAAAAAAAAAAAAAGAGATAAAGCTACACCGAGATCACAGGGAAGGGAAAGTATAATGTGGAAAAACCAATCTGATCCGGCTTGTCAGCATCTCCTCGGAGAAAGGCCCCAGGAAAAAGCGGATTATCCACAGCTCTTCCTGGTCTCTCCAGCCACGGTCTGGCTGTGGCCCCCGCTTCACTCCGCCGCTGGCGTCCCGCCTCCAGTTCAACACGCTCGTACGAGACAACACGGCCCCGATTGCCCACGCCGATCCTGGTTCCGCAGTCTCTCGCGTGCGGCTCTTTTATTTGCCCCTCTTCCCCCGGCCTTTCCGGCCGGCCAGCCTGCCGGTGTTGCCCGGGCTGGGGGCGGGCGCGGACGCGATGTTGATCTGCCCCTCCTGGATCTCCTGCCGCGCCTCCGCCGGCATCTGGCTGATCTGCCGCTGGGTCTCCAGGTAGAACATGACGTCGCGCAGCTGCTCCTGCAGCTCGGCGATGCGGCCGTCCTTGTGCTCGGCCAGCTCGCGCACGCGCCGCTCCTCCTCTCGCAGCTGCGCCTGCAGCTGCGCCTGGTTGGCCCGCAGGCACTTGTTCATCTCCGCCTCCTCCCGCAGCTCGCCCCCGAGCTTCGCCAGCCGGCCGTTGAGCTGCGCGCACCTGCCAACACACAGCCGCGAGCGCGCGGTGAGGGAGAGGGCGCCAGGTCCGAGGCCGCCATCTTTAAAGCAGCCCCGCAAGGACACATGGAAAAAATGCACTGCATATTTCTAAACTCACAAGCTAAACACCTAATAAATTCTTCATTCGTGGCGTGACAGGGTGTCTCTGGGCTGACAGGTGAGGGCGTAGGAGGAGAGAAGCCAGCGGTAAGTCAGGAAAAGATCCTGAGCACCTCACCCGTGTGGAGCTTGACATATCCCCCCCACCACTCACTGCAAAGGAGACGCCATTATGAAACCTCAGCAGGACTGGGATGTTGAAATGGTAACCTTAACACTGTAAAACGGAGACATAAGAGACGGCAGCAGTTCTACGCCAAAGCTGGAGAGCTCTCTGCCCATTCCTGATCGATACAAACACGGCTTAGGAACACCCCCTTCCCAAGATTCATCCTTTCGCATCCCTCCCTCCTCACTGTCACTGTCAGATCTAGTGTGTGGGGGATGGGGGGGGGGGCGTGCACGATAGTCTCATCAAGATGATCTTACCCTCAGATAAACGGGTTAAGAGATTTGCAATGAGACAGGTCCTCTACAGACATTCGCCAACCAGAAGCCCACACTGCCCCCGGGACTCGTGCCCAGCAGAGGAGATACAGGAGCACGTGTTCTGGGGACGAGCTTCCACCAAGGCAGTGTGGGGGAGACTGGACCCCATTGCCCCCCTTCTGGGAGTGAACACAGTGCTGACACCTATCAGAGAGCAGTGATGGGGTTGGCACCGCCTGGATTGGGCCAAAAGGACACAGTATCTGCTCTGGCTACTGGAGTCAGTGATGAAAAAGGGACTTTGCAACAGGAGGGGTTCCCTTACTTTACACAACACAGAGCAGGGAGTCAGGGAGCTGGGGGGGGAAGTCCTTGCAGACCTGGGGGGGACGAAAAGAGACGTCTGCAGGTGGAGGCGAGAAGGAGAGATGGAAAGGACGGTGGGCCTTCCACAAAGGCCAAGGACAAACAAACCATCCTGACTGAACCTGCTCCTGTGAACAACGGGGCTTTCAGTTCCAGGCCCAGGCAGGAGGCAAGGGGCAAGCAGGTCCCCCCAGTCGATGGGCTATCAAAAATAGTGAGTAGAAGGAGTCACTATAGTAAATAGTAAATAGGGCTTGGGAGGCCAGAGTAGAATGTTTTCACACCACTAATTAACAATTGAAACCATGGCTGGTAATCATATATACTTTAGAGTTGTAATAACATTTATTTTTGCAAAAAAAAAAAATATACAGTCCTTTTTACCTACAATCTACCCCACAGCAGAACTTTCACATCGTATCCTTGTATCCACAGGCCATGTAGTTTTCAACAGCTGCAGTATTGAATATTATAAATAAAATAACTCTTCTTGCTACTTGCTACAGGGAACACTCAAGATTCCAGACTTTCTAAGAGTTGATCACCAAAAAAGGCTAATTAATGTAAGCTTTGTCAACTGTTCTGGATCACAAGAGGCGGAGATAACATGACTTGGAGGAAAAAAAATCTTTTAAAAAATGGGCGATTATCAAATGGATCTGAATATACTACTGATAGGGTTGGAAAATTCAGGCAGCACCAAGGCTTAATATTGAAATGGCTATACAATCGACATGGTCTCTGCACTGAAACCTCACAAATAGCCACATTTGCATATAAACAAGTCCATCCCTATACTGTCGCATAATGTCCTACAATATATAGTATGTATGGTTCACAACGTATGTTAATCACAAAGAGGAGGTTTTGAAGCTGAACAGAATCTTACTTCTTCTCCAAAGACTGTTTTTCTTTTGTGAGCTCACTCAGCTTCTGTTCCAGACTGTCACACTTCTCAATAGTTTCCTTAAATTTAGCCTTCATGTTGTTGATCTGTAAATACAAACAGATTAAATTGCAACATCACTGCCCATCTCTTGCACAAACTAAACAGTGTAACAAAAACCAAGAATGTCAACCAGGAAATTCACAGTCATGAAAAAGCAGCATATGAAAAAAATCAGGCTCAGGAGGAAAACAACATTAATGGAAATGTGTTATTCATGAAACTCTGGTGTTGGATTCTTATTTCATCTGTATGAATAATTCTGAAAAGCATTAATTCAGGAAGAACTGGACATTGCTCTCAAGGGTTTCATAATCTTGAGGTGTTTTATACATCAATCTGACACATTTGCCAGCCAGCTTGTTTTACGGCTATATCAGCTAACCTGATTAACCCAGACTGTGGATGACACACATGGCTAAATACAAACTTTTCTCTTGCCTATGCTGTTACACTAAATCTCATATACACAGAGTTTTGATCACTGCATTTATTTGTGACGTATTATTCAGAAATCCTTGAGATTTACATTGGAGGAATTTCCTGAAATGTAACTGCACATGTATGCTTAGAAACAGAATCAGGCATGTGTTATCTTATATTCATTCCCTTATTACATCATGGAAACAATACTAAAATCTCTTTCATGTAGGTTCTTCATGGATAGTCAGAACACTGATTCTTTTTTATACAGACTCAAAGTATCCACAAACGTGTGCAGTCAGTCAGAAGTCATTAAGTATAAACCAGAGAACAGAGAACAGAGAAATTTCACCCTTATGGCCTGTTGGGACCTGAACGGTCCACCAGTAGAAAACAAGTCTATGAACTCGGAATTAGGGTTTCTGAGAGGAGGAAGGGAAGAGTTTCAGTGACATTCGACTGCAGAATCAAGGTGGACGCTGGCCAGAGTTAACCTTCCAAAGAGCCAGAACTGAATAGTGACCTACATGTATGTGCACTTCTTTCTTTGTTTACACAAAAACAAAAATTCAGGCCATAAAGGGTGAAAAGATAAGGGTTAGTAATAATTAACAACTTCCTCCAGGGATAAAAATGCCACCTGCTGGCCACATGCAGATTTCCAGGACTCTCAATATTCTACATTCACTGAAACACTTCTTGAAGCCTAGGAGTGTCGATAAAGGACAGACCAGTATCAGGGCATCTCACGTTCAGCTGCTAAATGTAAACTAAATGTCAGACTGGCCTTTAACTACACAAACTTGAAGACTGACAGACAGAATACACAAGGGCACAAAAATGAGCAAGACCCCTGTCTGAAAAATAAATGTACTTAATTCATAAGAAACAAGAAGAAAGGGATGAAGTGAAGATGAGAGACTTACACACTAAGCAGCAACGTAACAAAACAGATATTAAAAAAAATAAATGTCTGGGATTCTTACCTCCTCTGCAGTATCTTTCTCCAAGTGAACAATTTTATTTTCCCAATAAATTCTCTGAGAGTCCAGTTGACTTGTCAGCAAGTAGGAATACTAGAGAAAAAACAAAACCAGCTGTGGTTGACTCATCAGATCCACCAATGCTCCCTCGTGGTACCTGAGAATTCCCTTATTTTCCTGGAAAAGTTATCTGAAATAACTGTTAACGTGTTTAAGCCCCAAGGCCACAGGTTTTGGGAATCTCTGCTGCAGTCACAGGTGAGATGAGGCCGATCGAGACAGTCTGAGCACCCTTAATGGTCAACGGTACCAGCAGCATGGGCTCCCACGAGGCTCAGGCAGTTAAGGGGCAATTTTAACAGAAAAGGACCCTTCCTACAGCTCAGACAGA